GTCCGCCTGCAGACCCCCTGGACTTACAGTCTCCCTGAGAAGCCAGCTTCTTGCTCTCTGGTTGATCTGGGAAAGAGAAAGGATGGCAGATGCAGCACCCACCCACCCACGGCCGCCTCAAACCCGATGCTGGCGCCACATGTCCAAGGTAAATAGTCCCCTTCTACCCCGACCCTTAGAGTTGAGACAGGAGCCTAGGAGAGACCCGCCCCAGAGGGGAGCCAGACTCCACCAATGCTCAGAGTAAAAAAAACCTTCAAAACATGCAAACACCACCAGGCACCTGAGTCCTCCCACTTTAGGACAGGACTCGCCCCTGGCAGGGAGGGGTGTCCAGGTAACAGCAGAGTTGTTCAGGAGTTGATCACTGGCTACACCAGCTACTTGGGGTCACACTGCACACCCCAGGGCCTAACTTCCCATCAAGCCTCAGTAACTGCTCCAGGTTGCCCCAGCCTCCCAGAAGGGGAGGAATCATCTTGGGAACTTATAACTTCGACCCAGTCACAATCAATCTGCCCTTCTCTCTGCCACCTGATACCTCAGGATGGCAGACAGAACAAAAAGAATTAACAAAGCCGGGACTGCTGAGGTTTTAAAAGACCAAACAGCAGCGACACCCACCCATTCTGAACCACACTCAAACAAAAGCACCTTTCTGCCCCCAGCCCTTCCTCCTAAACTAAAGGCAGCAGCAGGGAGTTACCTCCATCTTCCAACTGTCTCTTTTGGCCCCCAAAACCAAAATCAGGAGTGCTGTTATTCACTGTCGTGGCAGCATCGCCTCCAATTTTGGCAGCGATCTAGAATAAAGTAGTAAGCACAAAGTAGAATTACCACAAAAAACAACCCTTCATGGCGCCCAGCTCAACTTCGAAGAACATCTCCAACTTCTCAGAACATCTCCTGGTTACGAAAGCCCATCAAGTCCTGGTGTTTGGCCCTCCCATTCAGGGAAGACATCCTGAATTGTTGGTTAAGACATCCTAGGAGGAGTTTTGAACCCAGGCCTCAAGGTTCTCACCAGTTATCCGGGAATATCAAAATTCCCCTCTTCCCTTCTGCTGGGATTTGTGTCTTAATTGTGGCCAGCAGGCAGGGCACGGTGGCTCATGCTTATAATCCCAGCACTTTAGGAGGCTGAAGCGAGAGGATCATGAGGTCAGGAGTTAGAGACCAGCTTAGCCAACATGGTGAAACCCCGTCTCTACTAAAAATACAAAAAAAATCAGCTAGGCGTTGGTGGCTCATGCCTGTACTCCCAGCTACTTGGGAGGCTGAGGCAGGAGAACCGCCTGAACCCTGGAGGCAGAGAACCGAGATTGTGGCCATTGCACTCCAGCCTGGGCAACAGAGCAAGACTCCGTCTCAAAAAACCGAACAAACAAAAAATTGTGCCCAGCCCATAATCCACACAGACTTGGTCCTAGGGGCTAAAGGAACAGAGAGGCTCGGGTGCCAAGGAGGGTCCCCAGGTCATCACCAGGAGCTTTCAGACATTTCCTCCTGCCAGTGGCCCCAGCTCACGTAACCAGTTTTTCTTTTTTTTAGCTCAGTTCTCCTGGGATGCTGAAGAGTTCAACTTTCTCCTACCTCCTTCGCTCTCAAAATCTTTGTATCGACTTAGTGAAAAAATTTGAGGAAAGTGATCACTGCAAGGTATATGAAATCCTCATCTGACCAAAACAAGACTCTCTGGATGGCTGGGTGAGGTGGCTCATGCCTGTAATCCAATCCTAGCACTCTGGGAGGCCGAGGTGGGCAGATTACTTGGAAGTCAGGAGTTCGAGACCAGTCTGGCAGACACCTCGTGAAACCCCATCTCTACTAAAAATACAAAAATTAGCTGGGTGTGGTGGTGCACACTTAAAATCCCAGCTACTTGGGAGGCTGAGGCAAGAGGATCACTTCAACCCAAGAGGCAGAGGCTGTGGTGAACTCAGATTGCACTACTGCACCCCAGCCTGGGTGACAAGAGATTCCGTCTCAAAAATCAAAACAAAACACCCAAAACAAGACTCTTTGGGATACAAGTTACATCTCAGACGTGTGAAGACCTCAATCCAGCAAACTTAAAATCAGAGTCTGGGTTAAAGAATCACCCTTTCCACCAGTCTCCACAGAAAAATCTATGCTGCCCTTGAGCCAAAGCCCATGGGATGCCCACAGGGGGCCTTTCCCCACCAACTGACAGCAACAGCTCCCTCCGTTCAAGCTGCCCCAGAATCAAGACAGTTCCCTGGGCAACCAGACCAAATGCACGTTAGAACCCACCCAACTCCAAGGGTGAGGAAGTCAGAGACTACAGAGGACCAGAACACGGGCGTTCACCTAACGGGACCTCCCACCTTGGGAGGAGCCAGTCTCCAGCCCCAGAGGCACTGGGTCAGCCCTGGAGCCCGTCTGTTTCCCGAAAGGCGGCAAAGTCCTCCCATTCTACCGACCCCCACCCCTCCAGGCCGTGGAGAGGCTGCAAATGGAGTTGGAGAGGTCAGTCCTAGAAGCATGTCACACTTCCTTGTTGTCATCACGCCTCAAGACACGGTGGTGGGAGACCCTCCCCTCTTTCCCCCAAAGACAGACCACGCTTTCAACCCACGAAACCATCCAAAAGCCAGTCCCAATGCTCATCTACTCCATTTCGCCCAAGTGCTCAGCCCTAGACAGGTCCCCCATCCACTTTCCCGACTCAAGAGAAAGGACTGTCCCTCCCACCCCCACAATGTCCCTTCCTCCTAGGGAGGGGACAGAAATGGATCGAGCTGGGGACACACACCTGCCCTTTGACCTGATATGGAGGAGAGGATAAAGACCCTCCGCCCGGTAAGGTGGACTCCTGCCTTCAGGCGTGTCCTAAGACGGGGGGGGGGGGTGTGGGGGGATGAGGGAGTCCCAAAAGTGCGTCCCCAAGCTCCGGGGCGCCTGCACATCCAGGACGGCTCCTGGTGACCCCCAGTGCGCCCCTACCTCCTGCAGGGGGGTCACCCGCAGGGAGCCCACTCGAGGAACCGCGGGAGGGCCAAGCCCCAGTCTACCGCCCACGTGACCCCGAGACGGCCCCGGCCCCTCCCGCGACCCCGCGCGCGCGCGCACACGTGACCCCCGCCCCCTCCCCCGCGCGGGCGCGCGCGCGCGCGCGCCCCTCAGGCCCTCGGCCTCCTCACCTGGCGGGCCCGCTGCACCGCGTCGGCGAACGCGTCCTTGCGGATTCCCGGGCCGCCTCCGCCCGGCGGCTGAGAGGGGCCCCCGGCCGACCCCCCGCCCGGGCCGCCGCCGCCGGGGCCGCCGCCGCCCCGGTCCCCCGCGCCTGGCGGGCCCGGCGGAGGGCCTCCCCCGGCGCCCCCGGCTCCCCCGCCCCCGCCGGCGGGCGGCGGCGGCCCGGGCGGGGGTCCTCCCGTGCTGTAGTCCGACATGGCGCGGCGGGGCCGGGCCTGGCGCGGAGGCTGAAGCTGAGGAGGCGGCGGCGGCGGCGGCGGCTCAACGCGGGAACAAGGCCTCGCTCCACACGGCCGCGGAGCACTCTGGGAACCCAGCCGCTGGGAAGACGACGAGGGGGGAGAGGGTCGCCCCCTCCCGCCGCCGGCGTGACGGACAGCTCCTGCGGGCCAGTGGGAGGCAGCTGCCGTACCCTGGACACCAATCGCGGGCTCTGAAGGAGGTGGCCAATCGGAGTGCAATGAGGGGCAGTGGGCGGGAGGCTCAGGATGACCGACAGCTCTCAGAGGCAATAGCTGCGAGTAGCCGGTGCTGGGCGGGCAAATGACGGGGATCTGCGAAGGCAGGAGGCCCAATGAAGCGCGAGTTCCAGATTCGCGGGGCGGCTTCAGAACTAGATTGACGGTTCCGAAGAGTCACGTGGACTGAAAGGTAGGGCCTAGTGAAAGACTCCTTTGGACTGGCTGGGTGGGCGTTCGGTTTGATAGTCGTGGGCGCAAGCCAATGAATGCACGTGAGGGGCGGTGCTTGTAAAGATGGGTAGTCAACTTAATCCAATCCCTGATGAGTTCTGGGTGATGAGGTTGGCTTTGGACTTTAATTGCTTCCCTTGTTAACCAGAATCCTTTTCTATCCCTGACTTCTAACCCAATGGCTGAGCGACATGGGTGGGTATTCGGAACTGACACTGGTCTGGACAAATGGGAATGAAGGAAATCAAGGCGCCCAGTTTTGGTGGGAGCCAGTGGAAGCGCCGCTGCATTGGGGCGGAGTCAGCCACTAGACTGCGAGAGGGGATTAGCGGGAGCTGGAGTGAATGGCAGCCGACGTGGGCGGTGGCGACCGGCTGCCCGAATTCGGGCCTGACGTCTGGGTTAGCTCCCCTGGAGCCTGGCTGGGTAGGCCTGGCACGTGGCCTGCTTGAAGCCTTGGAGATCGAGAGCTTCCGGAGATGCGGAGACCGGAGAGCAGGAAACCCGGGATCCCCTGTGCTCTCTTCTCTCTCGACCTCCACCCATCTAGTTTCCAGCTCTTGCAGGAAGGGCCAGCACAGTGGCTCACGCCTGTAATCCCAGCCTTTTGGGAGGCCAAGGCGGGCGAATCACGAGGTCAGGAGTTCGAGACCAACCTGGCCAACATGGTGAAACCACGTCTCTACTAAAAATACATAAAATAAGCTGGGCATGGTGGCGGGCGCCTGTAATCCAGCTACTCAGGAGGCTGAGGTTGCAGTGAGCCGAGATTGTGCCACTGCAGTCCAGCCCAGGCAACAGTGTGAGACTCTATATAAAAAAAAAAATTATCTTGCAGGACTCAAGGAACCAGCCCCCATCTGAGTCCACAACAACCTGGATCGAGGCATCACAGCTCCTCACTTCACACCCCTTACTCCCTTCGCATAAGGCCCTGGGATCCAAGGCTCAAGCTCCTATCCTAGGTCCTATCTCCTCTCCTGGACACAAATTCCCATTCAGGACCCAGAGTCCCAAGGTCCCCAGCTCCCTTGCCGGATCCAGGGATCTCATGCACCCATTTCCACTCCTAGGCCCAGGTATCCAGACACGTTCAGCCAAAACCATCTCTTTATTCCTGGTTGTCTGCCATGTTCACCATTCCGCCCTGGAGCCAGGTCGACCCACAAGGACCCAGACTGGAGCCGAAGTTTCTTGTCTCAGGCTACATCCTGGGGAGGGAGCCTCAGGAATCTTCTGACCCAGCAACTCCCCCGGCAACCCGGAGCCTGCTTTTGCCACCAAAAACTGCTCCAGGGCCTGAGCCTTGAGGCCTTGAGGGCTCTTTGGGACCAGGGGTCATCAGGTCCGCCTATCCCATTTCAGCCTAGGCTGTCGTCCAGCTCACAGCCCTATACGCCCAGGGTTTTCTTCATAGCGTTGTACACCACATAGCTGATGCCACCTGCTGGTAACATCTTCAGTAGCGTGGGGGTCATGCCTCGGCACAGCCCTAGCCAGCCCTGCTGGGCCAGGATCTGCTGGAAGACTGCACGCATGGTGGGGTTCGAGCCCTCCACGGTGTCTGCAGGGACACAGGCAAGATCAGGACTAGACCAGTGATGACCCAGCCTCCTAGGAGTCTGGAATGTTTTGGGCAGTTGCTGAAGCCATGGGTAGGGGCCCTGCGGTCAGTAGGAAAGGAGTTTTGAAGAGTCTTAGAAGAAATTGGTTCATTTTTAGTTTACATTTTTTTTTTTGAGATGGAGTTTCGCTGTTGTCACTTAGACTGGAGTGTAATGGCATGATCTCGGCTCACCGCAACCTCTGCCTCCTGGGTTCAAGCAATTCTGCCTCAGCCTCCCACGAGTAGCTGGGACTACAGGCGTGCACCACCATGCCCAACTAATTTTTGTAATTTTAGTAGTGACAGGGTTTCACCTTGTTGACCAGGATGGTCTGGATCTCTTGACCTCGTGATCCACTCACCTTGCCCTCCCAAAGTGTTGGGATTACAGGCATGAGCCACCACGCCCCAGCTAATTTTTAAAAATTCATTATTATTTGCAGAGACAGGGTCTCTATCTGTTGCCCAGCCTGGGAACATCTTAGAAAACATCACAGCTTATTTTAGGAGGGAACATCTGAAATCTGCTGGAGATTTTGGGAATGTGCTCAGGGGCACTATGAAGACATCTTCAAGATCAGGGTGGTGGTTGGGCTTGGTGGCTTTCGGAGGCTAAGGGGGATGGATCACTTAACGATCATGAGTTCGAGACCAGCCAGGCTAATGTTATGAACTCCCATCTCTACTAAAATTCCAAAAATCAGCTGGGTATGGTGGCATGCACCTGTAGTCCCAGCTACTCGGGAGGCTGAGGCAGGAAAATTGCTTGAACCCAGAAGGCAGAGGTTGCAGTGAGCCGAGATCGTACCACTGCATTCCAGGCTGGGTGATGGGAGTGAGACTCTGTCTCAAAAAAACAAAAAAATCAGGGTGGTGGCCAGGCGCGGTGGCTCACGTGTGTAATCCCAGCATTTTGGGAGGCCGAGGCGGGTGGATCACGAGGTCAAGAGATCGAGACCATCCTGGTCAACGAGGTGAAACCCCGTCTCTACTAAAAATACAAAAATTAGCTGGGCTTGGTGGTGCGCGCCTGTAGTCCCAGCTACTTGGGAGGCTGAGGCAAGAGAATTGCTTGAACCCAGGAGGCAGAGGTTGTGGTGAGCCGAGATCGCGCCATTTCACTCCAGCCTGGGTAACAAGAGCGAAACTCCGTCTTGTTAAAAAACAAAACAAAACAACCCATTGCCATTTCCCTTATAATCCTGGGAACTCCCAAAATCCGGCCAGGGGCAGTGGCTCACGCCTGTAATCCCAGCACTTTGGAGGAGGGCGGATCACCTGAGGTCAGGAGTCTGAAACCAGCCTGACCAACATGGTGAAATCCCGTCTCTACTAAAAATACAAAGATTAGCCAGGGATAGTGGCATGTGCCTTGTAATCCCAGCTACTTTGGAGGCTGAGGTAGGAGAATCGCTTGAACTTGGGAGGCTGAGTTTTCAGTGAGCCCAGATCGTGCCACTCCACTCCAGCCTGGGCAACAAGAGCAAAACTTCATTTCAATAAATAAATAAATAAATAGGCGAACACCCTATTTGGCCTTAGCCCACCTGCATCCAGGTGAATAAAATAAATAAATAAAAATGATCTGGGCTAATTTGTAAAAATACAAAAATTAGGTATTTGGGAGGCTGAAGCAGGAGATCGCTTGAACCCAGGAGGCAGAGGTTGTGGTGAACTGAGATCCCATCCCTGGGCGACACAGTGAGATTCCACCTCAAAAAAAAAAAATTAAAAAAAAAAAAGGCCGGGTGTGGTGCCTTAAGCCTGTAATACCAGCACTTTAGGAGGCCAAGGTGGGTGGATCACCAGAGGTGGGGAGTTTGAGACCAGTGTGAACAAGGTGGTGAAATCCCGTCTCTACTAAAAATACAAAATTAGCTGGGTATGGTGGCGCATGCCTATAATCCCAGCTATTCCGGAGGCTGAGGCAGGAGAACTGCTTGAACCCGGGAGGCAGAGATTTCAGTGAGCCGAGATTGTGCCACTGCACTCCAGCCTGGGCAACAAAGTGAGACTCTGTCTAAAAAAAAAAAAAAAAAAAATCAAATCTGACTGCCTCAAATGGACTCAATCCACCAATCTCAAAACAGGTCCTTCATCCACCACTCTTCTCTTCAAAGTGTCCCCACACTAGCCCTGCACACATTCCCCAAATCTCTTAGGTTTCAGGTGTTTCCACCCAAATAAGCCATCGAAGGTGGGCCGGGATCAGACAGGCAGGGTGCGGGACTCGGTTTTGGAGGATGAGAAATTGAGACCACCCGGGCGGGGCGGTGTGGGGTGGGAAAGGGGCATGCGGCAGTGGCGGCTGCGGGGGTGGGGACGCCGGCTGACCTTGGGCCTGCATCCTGGTGCGCACCAGAGTCAGTGGGTAGCTGGCCATCTGGCCACAGGTCGTGGACAGTGTCACAGATGACAGACTGACCAGGCTGCTGGGGTCCCCCATATACCTGCCTGACTTCAGCCAGAAGCACTGGAGCATCTGCAAGAGAAGGGGGCCAGGAGAAAGTTCACCAGGAGCCTGGGCTCTGGTGGTCCCTGCCAGCCCCTCTGCAAGGAACCATACCTCATAGACGGCCAGGTCCGTGCAGGCGTAGGGGATGATGCCGAGCATATTAGGCAGGTAGCCGCGGTAAAGGGTGCAGGTGCCCTCCTGCTCCAAGATCTGCCTGGCACAGTCCAGTAGCCTCTTGTACTGGCCTGTCCGACGCAAGGTCAGTCACGTCTTCAGCACCTAAGAATGGTGGGGAACAAGGCAGCTCCTTTGATTAAATCCTGTCAGTGACCCTCAGGGGTGGCCGTTGTCCCCACCCTACAAACAAGGAACATGAGGCTCAGGAAGGCAGAGCTGGGTTTCAGACCCAGATCTGTCAGATTCTCTGGGATGCTCTCTGAATTTCGAGTTCTGAAGCACAAATGCTGGCAAAGGCCAAGAGAGTGAGGGAAGAAGCCTCACGTCTGTCATCCCAGACCTTTGGGAGGCTGAGGTGGGCAAAACTTTATGGCAAAAAGATCAAAGATTAGGGGGAAAAGAAAGGGAGTGAATAGGTAGAGAACAGGGGCTCCTTAGGGCAGTGAAAGGGTGAAGGGGAGGAGGGAGAGGAGGCAGAAAAGAGGAGGAGGGAGAAAGGGGTAGGGAGAGGAGAGAAAGGTGAAGGGGAGGAGGGAGAAGAGAAGAAAGAGGAGAGGATGAGGAGGGAGATGGAAAGGGGAGGAGGAGGAAGAGATGAAGGGGAGGGGGGAAAGGAGGCAGAAAGGAGGAGGGGGAGGGGAGAGGTAGGAGAAAAGAGAGGAGAGGGGGAAGGACGGGGGGGAGGAGGGAGAAAAAGGAGGGGAGGAGGCAGAAAGGAGGAAGGGAGGAGGAGAGGAGCAGGAGGAGGAAGAACAGTGTGAAGGGGGAGGAGGAAGGAGGAAGGAGATGAGAGGAGGAGAAGGGGAAAAGATGAGGGGAGGAGGAGGGAGAAAGGAGGGAGGGGAGGAGGCCGGGAGGAAGGAGGAGGCAGAAGTAGCCCCAGCACCTGGATAACTATTTCCACGGTGTTTGCTGACCTGTGGGCCAGATGTCATCTTACCTCCATGGGGTTTGATGAGGGTCTGGGAGATGGCCCAGCCAAGGAGCTGGCGAGGAGACGCTCCTGGAAGGGCGGAGACTCTTGTAGTCCACAGAAGTAGTTTTTGCACTGGGACAGGAGAGAGGAGGGTGAGAGAGAAGCCGGGCACCCTCCCACACAAAACCCATGCAGGAAGGAGGCCTGGGCTCTGGAGGGTGAACGTGCGTCTTGAACACGGGCTTGGACTTTGGGGGGTACAGGAGGGGTTTGGGCTTGAGCTGGGGGAAGCAGACCCCTCGCTCCCCACCTGCCCAGATACGGAGAACTTGATGGCATACTCAGGAGCAATCTTGAGCACGTTGATGCCGTTGCCCCGCCACAGGGAGTGAAGGCCCCCTCCTGGACCACGCTCTGTAGCCCCCCCCAGCAGGTTGGTGAAGTTGGTCTTGGAGTAGGGGGTGGGGGGAGGACCCTGGATGAGCCCCTGCTTGCCTCTGTCTTTGTCCCCATCCCCCCCCAAAGCGCAGTTCCACCTGCACCTCCCCAGCCACCCAACCCCAACCCATCCCCGTCCATCCCTGTTCCTTCAGCTCCTTCCCTGGCCAGTTCTTGAATTGCACACAACACAGACTCAAAGCCAGTAACAACCCACATTCCTGTATCTTCCCTCCTCTTCATCTTCTCTCCAGCCCCCTCCCTCCCTTCCTTTCTCTTTCTTTCCTCCCCTCCTTTCTTCCTGCCTTTCTGCCTTCCTGCCTTCCCTCCCTCCCTCTTTTTTCTTCCTTTCCTTTCTTTCCCTTTCCTTTCCCTCTGTTTCTCTCTTTCTCGCTCTGTCACCCTGGCTAGAGTGCAGTGGCGGAATCTCGGCTCACTGCAACCTCCAGCTCCCAGGTTCAAGTGATTCTGCTGCCTCAGCCAGCCAACCAGCTGAGACAGCAGCTGTGAGATATCCCGCTTGGGATGGCTCCAGCCCTACTTTTTTTTATTTTTATTTTTAAATTGAGACGGAGTCTTACTGTGTTGCCCAGGCTGGAGTGCAGCGGTGTGATCTCGGCTCACTGCAACCTCTACTTCCCAGGTTCAAGCAATTCTCCTGCCTCAGCCTCCTGAGTAGCTGGGATTACAAGCGCCTGCTACCACACCCACTAATTTTTGTATTTTTAGTAGAGACAGGGTTTCACCATGTTGGCCAGACTGGTCTCAAACTCCTGACCTCAGGTCATCTGCCTGCCTTGGCCTCCCAAAGTGCTGGGATTACAGGCATGAGCCACTGCATCCAGGCCCTACCTTGTCTAAACTCATCCAAAGACTCCCACGCTCCATTCCCTGACCTCCCACCCACTCCTAGGCCCAGCGTTGTTCCCTGTCCCTGGTAAGTTGTCCCAACCTCTTCTCCAACTCGACTCCAACTGTGTCCACACTAGCTCCATCACCACCCACAACATCAATCTCAGCCAGTCAAGAAGAACCCCAACTCCAGCCAGCACTCCCATCCTGAACTCCATCCACGCCAACTCTATCTGTCCCCACCCCATGTCCTCCCCAGTGGCTCCAGCCCTGGGTCCCATCCTCCCCCCACCCCATGCACCTGCATGTACACCTTGACTCTGTCCAGAGGGGCTGTGCCTGTGCGAGACACCGCCCCGGCCATAGCTCCTGAGAGCAGAAACTTCCACAGGGCCCCCTTGTTATCCATTTCCAGGATTTCCATGGGGACCATCAGCTGCTCTCCTGTGTCCAGCACCTGCAGGGCAGACCCAGCCCTTCCTCATCCTCTGCCAGGCAGGGTACCTTCCCCAGACACACCTCTAGGATGCCCTCCTGGTGAAAGACCCATCCTGTTCCCCCAACTCTGCTTCTTTATTTTTTTTTTTTTTTTGAGATAGAGTCTCACTGTGTCCCCCAGGCTGGAGTGCGGTGGTGCGATCTTGGCTCACTGCAGCCTCCGACTCCCGGGTTCAAGTGATTCTTGTGTCTCAGCTTCCCAAGTAGGGACTATTTCCAAAGCTTGTTCTTATACTGAGTAATAAATGACATCTCTACCAAAGGAACTGATATCATGTAGACTCTCTTTTCCTTTTTTTTTTTTTTTGAGACAGAATTTTGCTCGTCACCCAGGCTGGAGTGCGATGGTGTGATCTCGGCCCACTGCAACCCCTACCACCCGGTTCAAGCAATTCTCTACCTCAGCCTCTGGAGTAGCTGGGATTACAGGCATTACAGGCTCCTGCCACCATGCCTGGCTAATTTTTTTTTTTTTTTTTTAAGTAGAGACAGGGTTTCACCATCTTGGTCAGACTGATCTTGAACTCCTGACCTCATGATCTGCCTGCCTCGGCCTTCCAAAGTGCTGGGATTACAGGCGTGAGCCACTGTGCCCAGCCTAATTTTTGTATTTTTAGTAGTGATGGGGTTTCTCCATGTTGGACAGGCTGGTCTTGAACTCCTGACCTCAGGTGATCTGCCCGCCTCAGCCTCCCAAAGTGCTGGGATTACAGGTGTGAACCACCGCACCCTGCCTTCCCGCCTCGCCTTGCTTCAAGGTAGAATTCTAGGTCTGCTGGCAGGGGAGTGGGCCCCCTCGAGGGTGTGGGTAACCTGGCCTCGCATTGCAGGGCCGACCAGAGGCGCTGGGACACCTGTGTTTCCAAAACTCACCTGCTGTGACAGGAGATGTTCAAGACTGTTGTCATACATGTGCCCAAACACGTACCCACACACGTGTGTACAGCCAGGCTTCCAGGAGCGGGGTGGGGGCGGAGGAGGGGGTTTGGTGAGTAAGGTCGTGACCTTCCTAAACAGTGCCTGGATCCTTGAGCAAGGGTTCTCAGGTTCCCCAGGCGGAGCGCCCATGGAGGAAGTGAGGACACTGGGCTTCAAATCCCTGAGAGGCGTTTGCTGGTCCAGCTACCATGCGGGAGTGTTTAGTGGGAGGGTGGTTGCCTGGGGGACCTAGGGAACGATGAAGTCACAGATGCCCCTGTGACCTCGCTGGGTGTGACCGGCCCTGCCATGGACCCTTTCCTCCCAAATGTCCACCTCCTGATCCCCAAACCAATGAATATGTGATTGTTATACATTGAATTGTGGGCCGGTTGCGCTGTCTCACGGTAATCCCAGCACTTTGGGAGCCCGAGGCAGACGGGTCATCTGAGGTCAGGAGTTTGAGACCAGCCTGGGCAGCAACATAGTGAAACCCCGTCTCTACTAAGAATACAAAAGTTAGCCAGGCATGGTGGTGCATGCCTGTAATCCCAGCTACTCCGGAGGCTGAGGCAGGAGAATCGCTTGAACCTGGGAAGTGGAGGTTGTGGTGAGCCGAGATTTTGCTTTGCACTCCAGCCTGGACAATAAGAGCAAAACTCTGTCTTAAAAAGAAAAAAAAAAAAAAAAAGAATAAGTTGAATTGTGTTCTGCCAAAATTATTATTATTATTTATTAATGAATGGACAATAATAAATTTGAGATAAATTATTTATTTATTATTATTTTTAAAGGCGGGGTTTCACCATGTTGGTCAGGCTGGTCTTGAACTCCCGACCTCAGGTGATCTACCCGCCTTGGCCTCCAAAGTGCCTGGATTACAGGCGTGAGCCATCATGCCCAGTCTTAAATTATATATATATATTTATTTTTTGAGACGGAGTTTCGCTCCTGTTACCCAGGCTGGAGTGCAATGGCGCGATCTCGGCTCACCGCAACCTCTGCCTCCTGGGTTCAGGCAATTCTCCTGCCTCAGCCTCCTGAGTAGCTGGGATTACAGGCACACGCCACCATGCCCAGCTAATTTTTGTATTTTTAGTAGAGACGGGGTTTCACCATGTTGACCAGGATGGTCTTCATCTCTTGACCTCGTGATCCACCTGCCTCAGCCTCCCAAAGTGCTGGGATTACAGGCTTGAGCCACCGCGCCCGGCCAAATTATATTTTTTAATGGGCTCCTATAATCCCAGCTACTCTAGAGGCTGAGGCAGAATTACTTGAACCCGGGAGGCGAAGGGTGCAGTGAGCCAAGATTGCCCCGTTGCACTCCAACCTGGGTGACAGAGCAAGACTCCGTCTCCAAAAAAGAGAAAAAGACAAACCAGAGCACTTTCTGTCTCTGTTCTCTGTCAGCCTTGGGAAGATGCAGCAAGAAGGCATGGCAGGAAGGGAGCCCTCAGCAGGAACCGAGCTAGCCAGCCCTTTGACCTTAGATTTCCCAGCTGCCAGAAGCAGATGTCTGCAGTTTAAGAACCTGCTGTTGTATTTCCTTATAGCAGCCTGGGCTGACTTACATTTGTTACATGGCAAACGGGATTTAAGTTTGCAGACACAATTAAGATTGTTAGGCCAGACAAGGTGGCTCACGCCTGTAATCCCAGCACTTTGGGAGGCCGAGGTGGACGGATCACCTGAGATCAGGAGTTTGAGACCAGCCTGACCAACATGGTAAGACCCTGTGTCTACTAAAAATAACAAAAATTAGCTGGGTGTGGTGGCGCGTGCCCGTAATCCCAGCTACTCAGGAGGCTGAGGCAGGAGGATCACTTGAGTCCAGGGGTTCCAGGTCAGTCTGAGCAGCAAAGCGAGAAATTTTTCTACAAAAAATTAAAAAAATTAGCCGGCTGTGGTCATGTGTGCCTGTAGTCCCAGCTACTTGGGAGCCTGAAGGGGGAGGGTCTCTTGAGCACAGGAATTAAGGGAAGCAGTGAGCTGTGATTGTGCCACTCCACTCCAACCTTGGTGATACAGCAAGACCCGGTCTCTTAAAAAAAAAAAATCAAAAGTAGGCCAGGCGTGGCGGCTCACGCCTGTAATCCCAGCACTTTGGGAGGCCAAGGTGGGCAGATCACAAAGTCAGGAATCCAAGAACAGCCTGACCAATATGGTGGAACCCTGTCTCTACTAAAAATATGAAAATTAGCTGGGCATGGTGGCGTGTGTCTGTAGTCCCAGCTACTTGGGAGGCTGAGGCAGGAGAATAATTGGAACCCGGGAGGCAGAGGTTGCAGTGAGCCAAGATTGCACCACTGCGCTCCAGCCTGGGGGACAGAGTGAGACTCCATCTCAAAAAAAAAAAAAAAAAAAAAAAAAATAGGCATGGTGGTGTGCACCTGTGGTCCCAGCTACTCCGGAGGATGAGGTGGGAGGATCACCTGACCCGGGAGTTTGAGGCTGCAGTGAGCCATGATTATACCACTGCACTCCAGCTGGGGATGGAGACAGAGTGAGAACCTGGTCTCAAAAACCAAAACCGAAACCAAAATCAATATGAAATCACATACATGTAGCTGCATACGTATTAGCCAGCTATTGCCACGTGACGAGTTACCCCCTGCCAAAGCTTGACAGCTTAACACAACACATGTCCATCATCTCACCCATGTTCTGAGCATCAGGGACTCAGGAGCAGCTTAGCCAGGTGTTCCTGTGATTCAGTGTTTGAAGCATAAGAGTCTAAGATTCAGGATTCAGGTACTGGGATCCAGTGCTTCCAGTGGAGGGATTCACAAAGCCTGGACTATCCAGGGAATGCACCTGGTAGATTTGCAGTGGGATGTCAGCCAGGACAGCAAGATCATCTTCCAAGGTCAGTTACATGGCTATTGGCTGAGTTCCTCACCACGTGGTCCTCTCCATAAGGCTGCTCATGCCATGACCACCGGATTCCTTCAGAGCAAATGTTATGAGAAAGAGAGACAGGGAGAGCACATAACCCATAATCAAGATGGTAGCTACAGTGTTTTTTGTTTGTTTATCTGTTTTTGTTCTTTGTTTTTGTCAACGGAGTCTTGCCCTATTGCCCAGGCTGGAGTGCACTGGTGTGATCTTGGCTCACTGCAACCTCCACTTCCCGGGTTCAAGAGATTCTCCTGCCTCAGCCTCCCCAGTAGCTGGAATTACAAGTGTGTGCCTCCATGCCTGGCTAATTTTTGTGTTTTTAGTACAGACATGTTAGTCAGTCTGGTCTTGAACTCCTGACCTCAGGCGATCCACCCATCTTGGCCTCCCAAAGTGCTGGGATTACAGCCACTGCGAACCTTTTTTTTTTTGAGATGGAGTTTTGCTTTGGCCCAGGCTGGAGTGAAGTGTTGCAGTCTCGGCTCACTGCAACCTCCGCCCCCTGGGTTCAAGCAATTCTTCTGTCTCAGCCTCCTGAGTAGCTGGGATTATAGGCAGCTGCCACCACACCCGGCTAAGTTTTGTATTTTTAGTAGAGACAGGGTTTTGCCATGTTGGCCAGGCTGGACTCGAAATCCTGACCTCAGGTGATTCACCCACCTTGGCCTCCCAAAGTGCTAGGATTACAGGTGTGAGCCACCTGTGCTGGCCTTTTGTTTTTTCTTTTTGAGACTGAGTCTTGCTCTGTTGCCCTGACTGGAGTGCAGTGGCACGATCTCCGCTCACTACAACCTCTGCCTCCCTGCAACCTCCGCCTCTTGGGTTCAAGCAATTCTTCTGCCTCAGCCTCCTGAGTAGCTGGGACTACAGGCATGCACCACCATGCCCAGCTAATTTTTGTATTTTTAGTAGAGACGGGGTTTCACCATGTTGACCAGGATGGTCTCAATCTCTTGACCTCGTGATCCACCCGCCTCGGCCTCCCAAAGTGCTGGGATTATAGGCGTGAGCCACCGCGCCTGGCCTAAAATATATATTTTGAACACCTCTGCTGGTAGGAAGAGAAGTGTGAATTTTTTTTTTTTTTTTCATTTGAGACAGATCTTGGCTCACTGCAACCTCTGCCTCCCGGGTTCAAGTGATTCTCCTGCCTCAGCCTCCTGAGTAGCTGGGATTACAGGCATGCTCCACCACACCCAGCTAATTTTTATATCTTTAGGAGAGACAGAGTTTTGCCATCTTGCCCAGGCTGGTCTCAAACTCCTGGCCTCAAGAGATCCTCCCACCTCGACCTCCCAAAGTGCTGACATTACTTATAGGTGAGAGCCACCCCACCCACACTGAATTTTCTACTTTTTTCTACAGTGAATTTGAATTGCTCATTGCGGGTTCAACTGTGTCCCCCAAGAAGATGTGTTCAAGCCCTAACCCCTGTCACCTGTGAATGTGATCTTATTTGGAAATACAGTCTTTGCAGATATAATCAAGTTAAAATGAGGTTACACTGGATTGGTGGGGGGCACCAATCTGATGGCTGCTGTCCTTACAAGAGAGAATTTGCACTTTGGGAGGCTGAGGTGGGCAGACTTGAGGTCAGAAGTTTGAGACTAGCCAGGCCAACATGGTGAAATCCCATCTCTACTAAAAATACACAAATTAGCCAGGCATGGTGGTGTGCACCTGTAGTCCCAGCTACTCGGGAGGCTGAGGCAGGAAGATCACTTGAACCTGGGAGATGGAGGCTGCAGTGAGCTGAGATAGTGTCACTGCACTCCAGCCTGGGTGGCAGAGTGAGACTCGATCTCAAAAAAAGGATGGAAATTTGGGCAGAGAGACACAGATACATATGAGGGAGAATACAGTATGAAGATAGGCAGGCAACAGACCGATGGGTCTATCATGAGCCTGGGCAACATACTGAGATCCTATTTCCACAAAAAAGGAAATAATCATTATAATTAGGCCTGGCATGGTGGCTCACGCCTGTCATCCCAGCACTTTGGGAGGCTGAGGTGGGCAGATCACCTGAGGTCAGGAGTTCAAGACCAGTCTGGCCAACAAGGCAAAACCATGTCTCTCCTAAAAATGCAAAAATGAGCCAGGCGTGGTGGCGCACCTGTAATCCCAGCTACTGAGGAGGCTGAGGCAGTAGAGTCACTTGAACCCGGGAGGCAGAGGTTGCACTGAGCCCAAATCACACCATTGCACTCCAGCCTGGGTGACAGGGTGAGACTCCATCTCAAAAATAAATAAATAAACAAACAAACAAATCAATCAATAAGCAAGTTGGCCAGGTATGGTGGCACACGCCTGTGGTCCTAGCTGCTTGGGAGGCTGAGGTGGGAGAATCGCTTAAACCTGGGAAGCAGAGGTTGCAGTGAGCTGAGACTGTGCCACTGCACTCCAGCCTGGGCAACAGAGCAAGACTCCATAACAAACAAGCAAACCAACAAACAAAAAGTTAGCTGGGCATGGTGGTACACGTCTGTAGTCCTAGCTACTTGGGAGGCTGAGGTGGGAGGACCACTTGAGCTCAGGAGGTGTAGGCTGCAGTGAGCCGAGATGCGCCACTGCACTCTAGCCTGGGCGACAGAGCGAGACCCTGTCTCAATTTAAAAAAAAGTTAGGCTGGGTGTGGTGGCTCATGCCTATAATCCCAGCATTTTGGGAGGCCAAGGCAGGTGGATCACCTGAGGTCAGGAGTTTGAGACCAGCCTAGCCAATATGGAGAAACTCCGTCTCTACTAAAAATACAAAATTAGGCCGGGCGTGGTAGCTCACGCCTATAATCCCAGCACTTTGGGAGGCCGAGGTGGGTGGATCACGAGGTTAAGAGATCGAGATCATCCTGGTCAACAAGGTGAAACCCCGTCTCTACTAAAAATACAAAAATTAGCTGGGCATGGTGACACGTGCCTGTAGTCCCAGCTACTCAGGAGGCTGAGGCAGGAGAATTGCCTGAACCCAGGAGGCGGAGGTTGCGGTGAGCCAAGATTGCGCCATTGCACTCCAGTCTGGGTAACAACAGCGAAACTCCATCTCAAAAAAAAAAAATACAAAGTACAAAATTAGTCAAATGTGATGGCGTGTGTCTGCAATCCCAGCTACTTGGGAGGCTAAGGCAGAATTGCGTGAACCTGGGAGCTGGAGGTTGTGGTGAGCTGAGATTGCACCATTGTACTCCAGCCTGGGCAACAAGAGTCAAATCCCATTAAAAAAAAAATTAGTTGGACATAGCAGTGCAGGTGCCTGTGGTCCCTGTGGTTCCCAGATACTTGGGAGGCTGAGGTGGGAGGATTGCTTGAGCCCAGGAATTGGAGGCTGCAATCAGCTATGATTACACCACTGCCCTTTAACCTGGGCTGCAGAGCATGTCACACACACACACACACACACACAATTTTAAGCCACCCTGTTTGTGATAATTTAGTCTGGCAGCTTTAAGAAATGGATACACTTGTGTAATCTGAAAAGAAACAACAAAACAAAATTTAGAAGGAGTTATAAACATGGACACCCTCCGCTGCTCCCATTTTATAGATGTGGAAACTGAGGCTCAACGAGGGAATCATCTGGCTCGTGGAACTGTGTGTGCTAGGAAGCGTCCCCTTGTCCCTTCCTTAGGGGTAGGCTAAGTTGGTCCCATGCCCACTCACCCCCTTTTCAGTAAAAACCACAATAAAAGAGCTTAGAAAATTTATTCCTTTTGTTCTTTTCCCTCGAAATGACACACACAGGCGGGGAGGTGGGGCGAGGTGGAGGTGGAAGTGCTGGTCCTCCGGCCCCTCCCCGAATCCCAATTCCCCTTTCCAAGTCCTTGCATGGGGTCTTCCGATTAGCCTAAGCTCAGAATCCAACTATGAAGTGCAGAATGTATGGGCGTGGGGAGGGGACTCTGCTCCTCTCTCTGGTAGAAAAATAGATCTGGGATGAATTTGGGGATTTGGCGGGTTTCTTTTTTTGTTTTTTGCATCATTGGGTGTTTGGGTTTAGGGAAGGGTGGTCTTTGCAGATTTGCTCCTGGCCTTCAACTCTGAAAACCTGGGGAGGGGCTGGCAGTGCTGGGGTGGGGACACCCCTTCGTGTGTCCCTGGCCTCAGACTGTCTCCTTGCCAGCCCCCAGGAGTGAGTGACTGCGCCCTCTGGAGGGACACAGCTCTGGGAATATTCGCCTGGAAAGTGGAAAGGGGATAGAAGATGCGTCAAGTGTGGGGATGCAGGGAGCGGGGTGGTTCGAGGGAAGTTTCCCCACAGGACCAGGCCAGGGGAGTGGGGTGGCCATGCAGAGAAAGTGGGGTGAGGGGGAATCCAGCATCCGTGCAGGTTGCAGCAGGTGTATCTCTGCCTGGTGATGAGCTGTATCAGGACCTGGGACCAATCCCCCAGGGTTTTCCGGAGCCAGAACCTGGGCTTCCTCCCCAACTGGCTCCCTTGACCACTCAATTTCGTGTCATGAGAAGCTGGCTCTGGGCTCCAGTGTGCGTGGGATGTGGGATGCTGTGATTGGGTTGCCAGGATCTAGACTTGGGGCCTGAACATTTGGGATCCGGCGTCCGGAGGATTTGGATCAGAAACCAGAGGTTAAGGGCTTGGGATTCAGTGCCTTCAAATATCGGGGTCTGCCTTCAGTAGATGAGGTTTCAACATCGAGGGACTGGCTGGAGGGATGCGGGATCTAGAATCTGGAATCCAGCAGCTGCAGTTGCCAGGATCCACTTGCTGTGCTGCTGGGGCTCCCACGCTTGCTTTAGGAGCCAGAATCCGGTGGGTGGGGGCTTGGGAATCTGGGACCTACTGGCTGGGGTGCAAGGTGTAGTGCTTGAAATGGAGGGATCTGGCAGTCAGAGCAGAAGGATCTGAGACCCAGTATTGAGGTAAAAAACAAAACAAAACAATGCAGGAATCCAGTGGATGGGGTGAAGGGATCTGGGATCCAGTGATGGGGGCCCCAGGATCTAGGCATTGTGATTGTCAGGATCTGGTGGCTGAAGTTTGTTGACATCCAGAATTCAGTGGCTGAGCTTGGAGATCCAGGGCTCGAGACATGGGGATCTGGGGTTGGGGATCTAGGATCCAGCGTTTCATGAGGACACTGGATTTGGTGCCCGAGGGAGCTGTGGTCTGGGTGCTGAGGTACAGGGAATTCGTGCTCCTGTGGTTGGGTGTCGGGATCCATTCGCTGATTTGTGTGGGATCCAGTGGTTAAGATATGGAGGTTCAGGACCCAGTAGAGGAACAGGGAAACGTGAGATCCCCCTTGAGATGTGGGGCTGCAGGATCCAGTGATTTCGGGGATGGGGATTAAGGGCTAGGGTGTGGATAATCTTGGACCTTGTGGTTAGGGTAGCAGACTTGAGTTGCTTAAGTATGGGATCCACAGTTATGGTTCCAGGGGGATCTGGGATCTAGAGTTAGGGTACTGGGATCTACTGGCTGAGGATAGGGATGCCATGACCCAGTGGTTGGGCCATACAAGTCTAGGATCCAGGATCTGGGTGCTGGGATCTCGTGGCCAAAGAGTGGGGATCCTGTGGTTGGATCATCAGTCTCCAGTGGCTGAGGTGTGGGGGACGTCATGACTGGGGTGAGGGATCGGGGGGATGGGCTCCGGGTCCCTCACCTGGACGTGACCCCCAAGGCCTGCTTCATGTTCTCGTAGACCACATAGGAGATGCTCACAGCTGGAATAACCTTCATGAAGTTGGGGGCGATGCCCCTGTAGAGGCCCCGCATGCCCTCCTGGGACAGGATGTGACGTAGCAGACCCAGCATGGACAGCTGGGGGCCGCCCTCGATGGAGGCTGGGAGGGGTGGGGGGGCCAGGTAAGGCCAGCATTCCCCTTTCACTTCCCCCTCCTACCCCCAGGGTTGGGTCAGGTGGCATCATTGCAGCAGGAGGAAAGGACATTAGACTAACAGTGGGACCCACTGCTCAGAGTCAAGACCTGTAATGACCGTGGAAATGGCTGCTCACCTTTTTACCCCAAGTTTGGGGACAATTAGAAATGGAGCAGGTATGGGTGTCCCTGGTGGGAGAGGACAGAGCCAGGTTCCCTCCCTCTTTTTCCAGTTGACTCCTACTCATCCTCCCATATTCCCTATCCCTATCCCAGAGCCAGCACTCCAGGGGGGCCCTCCTTGATGCTCCAGTCTAAGTCGGGCTCCTCCCTGCCCCCCACCCACTTTTATTTTCTTTTGAGACGGAGCTTTGCTTCTTCATTGCACCCCAGACTGGAGTGCAATGGCACAATCCTGGGTCACTGCAACCTCTGCCTCTCGGGTTTGAGCGATTCTCCTGCCTCTGCCTTCTGAGTAGCTGGGATTACAGGTGCCTGCCACCATGCCCAGCTGATTTTTGTATTTTTAGTAGAGACAGGTTTTTGCCATGTTGGTCAGGCTAGTCTCGAACTCCTGACCTCTGATGATCCACCTGCCTTGGGCTCCCAAGATGCTGGATGACAGGTGTGCACCACTGCACTTGGCCCCCACCCACTTTTTTGAGACAGGGTCTCCCTCTGTCACCCAGGCTGGAGTGCAGTGGCATAAGCACAGCTCACTGCAGCCTCAAACACCTGGGCTCAAGCGGTCCTCTGGCCTCAGCCTCCCAAGTAGCTGGGACTACAAGTGCGTATACCACACCTGGCTGTTTTATTTCTTCTTCTTTTTTTTTTTTAAGATAGGGTCTTGCTATATTGCTCAAGCTGGTCTCAAACTCCTGGCTTCAAACAATCCTTCCTAATTAGCCTCCCAAAGTGCTGGGATTACAGATGCGAGCCACTGTACCCAGCCTTCTTCTCCCCTTCATACAACCCTAAATCAATACTTAATTCCAGAATGATTTATTTGGCATCTTCCTTCCTCTCCAGCCTGTGAGCTCTATGAGGGTGAGGACCGTGTCCATCTTGTACACTGACACATCCCCAGTGAAAGTCAGAAAACACAAACACTAAAATTCCCAAGAAAATTCTCAAAATGGATTCGGGGAGAATGGGAGGGTAATGGTGGAGGAGACAGAGGGGAAATAATTCATACAAAAAATACAGACAAAAACAATAACCAGACTGGCCCTGACTGCTCCCTACCCCTGCTCCTAGCCTCCCGCTCCCGGTAACGCAGGCTTGCAAATTAGAGCTCAAGTTACCAGCCTGGAAAGTTACCAGCCTGGAAAGACTCGACCTTTGCCAGCAGCGGCACCCCAGCTAACTCTGCAAGGGGTCTCTTCTGGTACTCGGTGCACCTGTTTTCCTAATTAATCCTCAGCTCCACGAAAGTGAAGGACTCCCATTTCAATGTCACAAATGGGGAAACTGAGGCCCAGAGAAGACCATCCAAATCCAGGAGGGTCCTAGCCCAGGGCTCTACCTGGGAGGAGCTGGTGCCCAAGTGATGAGACCACCCTCCGCCCCATCCTCCCACCCAGGCCTCACCTTGTGCCTGCATACGGGTCCGGACCAGGGCCAGGGGGTAACTGGCTATCTGGCCGCAGGTGCTGGATATGGTACCGCAGGCCAGGAGCACGAGGATGCCCGGGTCGGCCGAGTCGTGGCAGTACTGCTGAAGCCACCAGTTCTTCAGGGTCTGGAGTGGAGAAGGGAGTAGGGAAGTTTGGGGTGGGTGACACCAGGACCCTGGCTTCAAAGGTCTTGCAGGCCACTTCTGAATCCTATAATGGCTGCTACTAGCTGAGGATTTCACACTTCCCAGGGGCTGGTCCAGCCCTTTCCCTGAATCCCCTCACCAAGTCCTCACCCAGACACTCTCTGGCAGGTGGAATACGAGTCCCCTGTACTGACCATGCCCTAATCTCACAACCTGTGCATATGTTACCCAAGATGACACAAAGGACTTTCTTTGCAGATGGGATTCAGATAAGCATTTTGAGATGAGGAGATTATTTTGGATTAGCTGAGTGGCCCAATGTCATCACAAGGGTCCTTCTTTTCTTTTTTTAAATCATTTTTCTTTTTTATAGAGTCTCATTACGTTGCCTAGGCTGGTCTCAAACTCCTGGGCTCAAGCGATCCTCCCACCTTAGCCTCCCAAAGTGCTGGGATTACAGGCATGAGCCCCCATGCCTGGCACAAAGGCCCCCCTCCCCCCCTTTTTTTTGAGATAAAGTTTCGTTCTTGTTGCCAGGCTGGCGTGCAGTGGCACAATCTTGGCTGACTGCAACGTCCGTCTCCCGGGTAAGTGATTCTCCTGCCTCAGCCTCCTGAGTAGCTGGGATTACAGGTATGTGCCACCACACCTGGGTAATTTTATTTTTTTTGAGATGGAGTCTCACCCTGTCACCCAGGCTGGAGTGCAGTAGCATGATCTTGGCTCACTGCAACCTCCATCTCCTGGGTTCAAGTGATTCTCTTGCCTCAGCCTCCCAAGTAGCTGGGACTACAGGCATGTGCCACCACACCTAGCTAATTTTTTATATTTTTAGTAGAGACGGGTTTCCCCATGTTAGCCAGGATGGTCTTCATCTCCTGACCTCGTGATCTGCCCCCCTCGGCCTCCCAAAGTGCTGGGATTACGGGCATGAGCCACTACACTTGGCCCCCCTGCTAATTTCTGTATTATTAGTAGAGACAGTTTTCACCATATTGGTCTCGAACTCCTGACCTCAGGTAATCCACATGCCTTGGCCTCCCAAAGTGCTGGGATTATAGGCATGAGTCACCGTACCTAGCACAAGGGCCCTTCTAAGAGTTAGAAAAGTAGGTATAAAGATAGAAGCACAAGCAAGAGAGAGTTTGGAAGATGCGAGGCTGCTGGCTTTGAAGATGGAAGAGACCACAAGCCAAGGGGTGCAGGTGACCTCTACAAGCTTTCGAAGGCAAAGAAACAGATTTTCTTCTGAAGCCTCTACCAGGGCCGCAGCCCTGCCAATACCTCGATTTTATAAAGCACAGTAAAACTCCCGTTGCGGAGCTCTGACCTCCAGAAGTGTAAGCTAATACATTTGTGTTGCTTTAAGACACTAAGTTTACAACTTGTTTGCTTCCAGAGGGGCAAAGAAAACATTAAAAACAACACCACCAACAAAAGGCTGGGCGTGGCGGCTCACGCTGGTAATCCCAGCACTTTGGGAGGCCGAGGCAAGAGGATCATTTGAGCCCAGGGACCCAAGACCTGCCTGGGCAACATAGCAAGACTCTGTTTCTACAAAAGCAAACCAACCAACCAACCTGGATGTGATGGTGTATGCCTGTGGTCCCAGCTACTCAGGAGGCTGGGGTGGGAGGATTGCTTGAACCCAGGAATTCAAGGCTGCTGTTAGCTGTGATGCACTCCAGCCTGGGCGACAAGAGTGAGACTCAGTGTCCCCCCACCCTCCAAAAAAAAGCTGGGCCTGGTGGCTCACACCTGTAATCCCAACACTTTGGGAGGCTGAGGCAGGTGAATCACTTAAGGTCGGGAGTTCAAGACCAGCCTGGACAACATGGTGAAATCCCGTCTCTACTAAAAATAAATATTAGCCAGACATGGTGGCAGGCACCTGTAATCCCAGCTACTCAGGAAGCTGAAGCAGTAGAATGACCTGAACCCGGGAGGTGGAGGTTGCAGTGAGGCAAGATTGCACCACTGCACTCCAGCCTGGGCAACAAGAGCAAGACTCTATCTCAAACAAACAACAACAACAACAAAAACACTTTCCAAGGACAGTGCCTGGGGCAAATGCTGTGGGGGCACCACCTTCATCCCTTCCCACTCCAGTTCAGACCTGCTGACTTCTTACTGCCAGCATCTACCTGAAGATTTTGCTTGTGGACTTTCTCTGAGCCCAGGCCAGCCTACTCTGACCACTTAGGAATGGACAGGAAGCGCTAGGTAATTACCATCTCCAGATACAACCTTCAAACGACTGACTTGGTGTATCAATACCTCAGCTCCTTCACCTCTCTGGTGAGCCTGTCTTATGCTGCCTCCCAGAGATCTCCAGAGGGCTGGAGCTCCATACGCTAGGAATGATAACTTTCTTGATAACATACTGTTATGGGTTGAATCATGTCCCCCTTTGTGGAGGGGGGACATGTTGACCTAACCCCCAGTACTGTAGAAGGTGACCTTCTGGCCAGGCACAGTGGCTCTCACCTGTAATAGCAGCAGTTTGAGAGCCTGAGGCAGGCAGATCACGAGGTCAGGAGTTTGAGACCAATCTGACCAACATAGTTAAACCCGTCTCTGCTAAAAATACAAAAATTAGCCAGGTATGGTGGCACACTCTTGTATTCCCAGCTCCTCAGGAGGCTGAGGCAGGAGAATTGCTTGAACCCAGGAGGCAGAGGCTGCAGTGAGCCAAGAAAGTGCCACTGCACTCCAGCCGAGGTGACTGAGACTCCATCTCAAAAAAAAAGGTGACCTTCTTTGGAAATCGGATCTTTGCAGATATAATCAGTTAAGACGAGCAGGGTAGTAAAGTAGACTTAGTCCAGTGTGACTGGTCTCCATAGAGGAGAAGACACAAAGCCAGAGACACACGCAGAGAAAGACAGCCACATGACAGCAGAGGCAGAGATTTGAGTGAATGTATCTACAAGCCAAAGAATGCCCAGGGCTGCTGGGAACAAGCAGAAACTGAAAGAAGGAAGGAAGCATTCTCTCCTGTAAGTTTGAGAGGGAGTATGGCTCTGCTGATACCTTGATTTTACACTCTGACCTCCAGAATTGAGACAGTACCTTTCTGTTGTTTGAAGCCGAAAGAAGCAATAACTTCCTGCTGTTTTAAGTTTGTGATACTTTGTTACAGCAGTCCTCGGAAACTAACATACTCGTCCTGTATCCATGGACGCCCTGTCTGATTACCTCCCCAATCACTTGTCCTCACTGCCCAGTTTCCAGGTCTGTTTTGGAAGGATCTCAAACTAAGACCAAAACTATTATTGTTGAGACAGGGTCTAGCTCCGTCACCCAGGCTGGAGTGCAGTGGCGCAATCTCAGCTCACAGCAACCGCTGCCTCCTGGGCTCAGGTGATCTTCCCACCTCAGCCTCCCAAGTAACCAAGATTACAGGTGTGCACCACCACATCTAGCTGGTTATTATTATCAGTTTTTGAGACGAAGTCTCACTCTTGTTGGCGAGACTGGAGTGCAATGGCGTGATCTCGGCTCACCGTAACCTCCACCTCCCAGGTTCAAGCGATTCTCCTGCCTCAGCCTCCCCAGTAGCTGGGATTACAGGTATGCACCACCTCGATCAGCTAATTTTATATTTTTAGTAGAGATGGGGTTTCTCCATGTTGGTCACACTGCTCTCGAACTTCTGATCTCAGGTGATCAGCCTGCCTCGGCCTCCCAAAGTGCTGGGATTACAGGTGTGAGCCACCACGCCTGGCCATTTTTTGCATTTTCTTTTTTTTTTTGAAACAGAGTCTTGCTCTGTTGCCCAAGCTGGAGTGCAGTGGCATGATCTTAGCTCACTGCAACCTCTGCCTCCTCGGTTCAAGTGATTCTCCTGTCTCAGCCTCCCATGTAGCTGGGATTGCAGGCACACACCACCATGTATGGCTAATTTTTTTTTTTTTTTTGAGACAGAGTCTTGCTCTGTCACCAGGGTGGAGTGCAGTGGTGCAATCTTCGCTTACTGCAACCTCTGCCTCCTGGGTTCAAGCGATTCTCCTGCCTCAGCCTCCCAGGTAGCTGGCACTATAGGCGCGAGCCACCATGCTGCCCAGCTAATTTTTATATTTTTAGCAGAGACAGGGTTTCACCATGTTGGCCAGGATGGTCTCGATCTCTTGACCTCGTGATCCACCCACCCTGGCCTCCCAAAGCAGTGGGATTACAGGCATGAGCCATTGTGCTGGGCCTGATTTTTGTATTTTTAGTAGAGATGGGGTTTCACCATGTTGGCCAGAATGGTCTCCATCTCCTGATCTCAAGTGATCTGCCGCCTTGGCCACCATGCCTGGCCCTATTATCTCTATTTTATAGAAAAGAATCTGAGGCTCAGGGGAAGTTAATTGCCCAAAGCTACAAAATAAATTGAGAGCCAACATTGACAGCTGCATGTGACTCTACAACTGTGCACCTGAAGACTTTACGGTGGCTAGTCCCTTCTGAAGCCTCCTGCCGAGGCAACTGTATGAACAAGACCTCCTTTGCCTTGTGGCTGGGAGAGGCTTCTATGTTTCATTTCCTGCGCGAATCCTAATCCGCTGGAAACTGCTGCCTGAAACTGGGATTGTGTTGAGAGGGACTCAGTGCTGTGATGGATTAGTAATGCCTAGCCCAGGTGCAGACCAGATAAAATAAGCAAGTACTTACCATTCTTGCCCTTGCAATTTTAGAAGCCTCCTTTTGGGTCTAGAAGAGCATTTGCCAAATAGATGTTTAACGGGTTATTAAGAGCAATCTGTTGAAAAGAAGTTCAAAAGATGGCCGGGTGCGGTGGCTCACACCTGTAATTCCAGCATTTTGGGAGGCCAAGGCGGGTGGATCACCTGAGGTCAAGAGTTCAAGACCAGCCTGGCCAACATGGTAAAACCCTGTCTACACTAAAAATACAAAAATTAGCCAGGTGTGGTGGTGTGCACCTGTAATCCCAGCTACTCGGGAGGATGAGGCAGAATTTTGCTTAAATCCACGAGGCAGAGGTTGGAATGAGCCGAGATTGTACCACTGCACTCCAGCCTGGGTGACAGACTGAGACTGTCTCAAAAAAAGGAAAAAAAACACACAAAACAGTTCTAAAGACTAGATTACTATGGCCAGTCCTGGGCTAAAAATAAAAAAAGTGAAATCACTTTACTGAGGACTTCTCAGAGCATTCAAGGGACAAACACACAGATTCTGAAACTCCAAGAGGGTGCAGGGTTTCTAAAACCTCTTAGACATCTAAGTCCATTTTTGGGTGAAGAGTGTATTTAAGGTTATATCTTCCTTCCTTTTCTTTTTCGAGATGGGGTTTTGTTCTGTTGCTGAAGCTGGAGAGTTCATGGATGTGATCATAGTTCACTGCAACCTCTGCCTACTGGGCTCAAGCAATTCTCCCATCTCAGCCTCCTGAGTAGCTGGGACTACAGGTGTGCACCACCACACCTGGCTAATTTTTAAATGTTTTTGTAGAGACTGGTCTCAAACTCCTGGGCTCAAGCAGTCCTTCCACCTTGGCCTCCCAAAGTCCTGGGATTACAGGCACAAACCACTGCACATAGCCTCATCTTATTTCTACTCACAACTCTGTTTAAATATTTTTGAGACAGAGTTTTTTGCTCTGCCACCCAGGCTGGAGTTCAGTGGTAAGATCTCGGCTCACTGCAACCTCTGCACCCTGCCCTGGGTTCAAGCAATTCTCCTGCCTCAGCACCCTGAGTAGGTGGGATTATAGGTGCCTGCCACTGTGCCTGGCTTACTTTTGTATTTTTAGTAGAGTTGGGGTTTTACCATGTTGGCCAGGCTGCTCTTGAACTCCTGACCTCAGGTGATCCATCTGCCTTGGCTACAGGTGTGAGTCGCTGCACCCGGCCTCTTTTCACAACTCTTAATGGCTTCCTGTTGTACTTGGAAGAGCCTGCGTCCTGCCCTGATCAGTTCCCCCCAGCCACCTAAGACTTCCACTCCTCCAAATCTGTTCCTGCTTCCACACCTGGGCAGTAGGTTTGTGCACACTGCCTTGTGATAATACGCCTAACCCATGGCTTCAATGTCACCTACTTGGAGGCATTCCTCAACCACCCTCCCGCCCACTGTTACTGAAGATGACAAATCTTGTCTTGTGATCTTCTGAGAGCTTTTCTAGGAGCTGAAACTATATTTGCTGGTTGATTGCCTGTCTTGGTTATGGGGATGGCCATTCCAGGGTGGCAGGGACCGTGCTGGTCTCATTCGACTCAACATCTACAACAATCCACACAGTACCTAGCGCAAAGCAGATGCTCAAGAAATAGTCACTGAGTGAACGAGTGAGCAACCAAATGAAACAAATGGGCCGGGCACAGTGGCTCACGCCTGTAATCCCAGCACTTTGGGAGGCCGAGGTGCGCAGATCACGAGGTCAAGAGATTGAGACCATCCTGGCCAACATGGTGAAACTCCATCTCTACTAAAAATACGAAAATTAGCTGGGCGTGGTGGCGCATGCCTGTAGTCCCAGCTACTTGGGAGGCTGATGCAGGAGAATCACTTGAACCCAGGAGGCGGAGGTTACAGTGAGCTCCAGTGCAGGGAGTGACACTGCACTCCAGCCTGGTGACAAAGCGAGACTATCTCAAAAAGAAAAGAAAAAAGGAACAAAAGGAATGGGTGAGCAACAGTCTTGCCTCGTTCAATTGTCTGGATGTCAGTGATGGGGAGGGCAGCTATGGAGGCACGAACAGTCTATTAGATCGGAAGCGGCTACACAATTTGCAGAATCCAGTGCAAAATGTAAAAGGGTGGGGTCCCTTGTGCAAAAATTATTGGCCAGGCACGGTGGCTCACGCCTATTATCCCAGCACTTTGGAAGGCTGAGGTGGGGGGATTACCTAAGGTCAGGAGTTTGAGATCAGTCTAGGCAACATGGTGAAACCCATCTCTACTAAACATACAAAAATTAGGCAGGCGTGGTCATGGTCACTTGTAATCCCAGCTACTGGGGAGGCTGAGGCAGGAGGATCCCTTGAATCTGGGAGGTGGAGGCTGGAGTGAGCCAAGATTGTGCCACTACACTCTAGCTTGGGTGACAGAGCAAGAGTCTGTCTCGAAAGAAAAATTAAGAATTTCAGGGCATGTGACCTGTGAAGTCACATTTTGTGACCTAATGCTCAGAAGGGCCCTGTGCTTGGTTTAATGCTCTGCTGCCGCCGTATTGAAATTATTATTACTATTATTTGAGATGGAGTCTCACTCTTGTTGCCCAGGCTCGAGTGCAATGGCACAATCTCGGCTCACTGCAACCTCCACCTCCCGGGTTCAAGTGATTCTCCTGCCTCAGCCTCCTGCTCACGCCTGTAATCCCAGCACTTTGGGAGGCCAAGGCAGGTGGATCACTTAAGGTCAGGAGTTTGAGACCAGCCTGGCCAACATGGTGAAACCCCATCTCTATTAAAAACACAAAAATTAGCCGGGCATGGTGATGCATGTCTATAATCCCAGCTACTCAGGAGGCTGAGGCAGGAGAATCACTTGAACCCGGGAGGTGGAGGTTGCAGTGAGCCGAGATTGTGCCATTGCACTCGAGCCTGGGCAACAAGAGTGAGACTCCATCTCAAATAATAGTAATAATAATTTCAATATGGCCGCAGCAGAGCATTAAACCAAGCACAGGGCCCTTCTGAGCATTAGGTCACAAAATGTGACTTCACAGGTCACATGCCCATGAAGCAGGCCGTCTTGCATACAACGGTTTTGGGAGCAACACTTGGGGACATCCAGGACCATCCTAATTGGGGTCACCTGGTGATCCCACTAGGAGAAGGTAAAAGCAACAGATGTGTCCTCTGGAAGAGAAACAGCCCTCTCTGCACCTGCCTCTGCCGATAAAGGTCTCACGATGCCGGTGCTTAGGTGTGGTTGTTATGGTAACAGCAGATGCTCGAATGGGCAGGCCCTGAAGATGACATTGGCTTAGTGGCAGAGGCTGGGTATAATACTTGTTTCGGGGAATTCGGATGCCTTTGAGACTCTTCTTTGCCTGCTTTTTCTCTTTTTTGAGACAGAGTTTCTCTCTTGTCGCCCAGGCTGGAGTACAATGGCATGATCTCAGCTCACCACAACCTCTGCCTCCCGAGTTCAAGTGATTCTCCACTGGGAGAATAAGCTTTCCCAAGTGGCTGGGATCATAGGCGTGGGCCACCATGCCCAGCTAATTTTGTATGTTTAGTAGAGATGGGGTTTCTCCATGTTGGTCATGCTGGTCTTCAACTCCTGACCTCAGGTGACCCGCCCACCTCAGCCTCCCACAGTGCTGGGATCACAGGTGTGAGCCATCATACTTTGCTTTTTCTTGAGGAGTCTCACTCTGTCGCCCAGGCTGGAGTGCAGTAGCGCGATGTGGGCTCACTGCAACCTCTGCCTCCCAGGCTCAAGCAATTCTCGTGCCTCAGCCTCTTCAGTAGCTGGGATTACAAGCATACACCACCACTCCCTGCTAATTTTTGTCATCTTTGCCTGCTCTTCTGGTTCTCTCAGCTGGAGTGATCCCTGACTTTCAGGTAACCCGGTAAGGCTGAACTGCTCATCAGAGCTAAGTGGAGAAATGGGAGAGTCCCATACCCCTAAGGCTTCCCCAGGATTCCCATGCCCAAGGTGCTCCTCACCTCATGTTTGTCTTTCTCTAGCTATAGGAGGTCAACTGAGCCAGCCCCAGGGGAAGGAGAAGGGGTGTTCTGTGGACAAATCCCAGAGGGGAGCAGGGAGGGAGGGGCGGGCTGCCCACAGACCTCGTAGACGGCCAGGTCGATGCCCGCATAGGGGATGATTCCCAGCACGTTGGGCAGGTAGCCACGGTAGAAGGCACGGGGCCCCTCCCTCTCCAGGATCCGCCTGGCACAGTCGAGCAGCCCCTTGTACTGGCCTGTCCGGCGCAAGGTCAGCCTCGTCTTCAGTACCTGGGGAGAACCTGGTTATCATCAATCGCTACATCCAGGAATGAAGACACCTAGAAATAGCTACTCCTGGAAGCAGATACCCTGAGAACAACTGAATTTTAAAAGCCACCTACTCCAGAATCTTCTGCTATCCCCAAATCTCTCTACCTAGAAATAGTTACAGCTACCTAAGTGCACGCATGTGGCACCACCAGAAACTGTCTCCTGGTATCTTTATTTTTTTGTTATTTCTGTTTTGTTTGTTTCTTTGAGACAAAGTCTCATTCTATCGCCCAGGCTGTAGTGCAGCAGTGAAATCTTGGCTCACCACAACCTCTGTCTCCCGGGTTCAAGCGATTCTCGTGCCTCAGCCTCCCAAGCAGCTAGGATTACAGGTTCCCGCCACCATACCTGGCTAATTTTTGTATTTTAGTAGAGATAGGGTTTCACCATGTTGTTCAGGCTGGTCTCAAACTCCTGACCTCAGGTGATCCACCTGCCTCAGCCTCCCAAAGTGCTGAGATTATAGGCGTGAGCCACCACATCCAGTCTTTTGGTTATTTTTGTAGAGATGGGGGCTAGAGCTGGGCGCAGTAGGTGGCTCACGCCTGTAATCCCAGCACTTTGGGAGGCAGAGGCGGGTGGATCACGAGGTCAGGAGATTGAGACTATGGTGAACCCTGTCTCAATAAAAAAAAAAAAATTAAATTAAATTTTTAAAAAAGAGATGGAGGCTCGCTATGTTGTCCATGCTGTTCTCAGACTCCTGGGCTCAAGCGATCCTCCCACCGCCAGCTCCCAAAGGGCTGGGTTTACAAGCATGAGCTGTCATGCTCAGACCCCAAGTATCTTATTCCTTTCTTCCTTCATAACAGAAACTGTAACTTTCATTAAGCGCACAGCCACTAGAAATAAAGACCAGAGACCCTGGGTATGTGGCTATGTCGCTACCTCCTAGCCAAAGGAAGAGAAGGAAGAGAAAGAGATACATATAAGGTTCAGAAAGCATCCTTAGAAGTGAGGAGGTGTTTCCTCTTTTGTCACTTCTTCCTTCTTGGCTGGAGTGTGGAATGTGGTGAAGGGGCCCCAGGCAGCCACACATTAGTCCATGAGGTTGTGTAACAAGATAGATAGAAAGACCTTGAATCTCTGACACTCTGAAGCTACCATCCCAGGCCTGAAATGCTCATCTCTAGACTTTGTTGACATAATTTAAGGTTTTTTTTTTGTTTTTTTGAAACAGAGTCTTGCTCCCTTGCCCAGGCTGAGTGCAGTGACGGGATCTTGGCTCACTGCAACCTCTGTCTCCCAGGTTCAAGCCATTCTCCTACCTCAGCTTCCTGAGAAGCTGGGATTACAGGCGCCCACCACCATGCCAGCTAATTTTTGTAGTTTTAGTAGAGATGGTGTTTCACCATGTTGGTCAGGCTGGTTTCTAACTCGTGACCTCAGGTGATCCACCTGAGGCCTCCCAAAGTGCCGGGATTATAGGCGTGAGATACCACGCCTGGCTGACATGATTTAAGTTTTCTGTCACTTTCAGAATCCAGACAATATGCTGTATAACCTGAAACCTGAAATAATTTATCTGAAAACATGTAGCTAGGACACGCTATCCTTAGAAGAGGCATATTCATAAACAGATGGCTTTCATGACTACCATCCAAACAGGGGTAACTGACACTACCTTTCCCAGAAATTATATCTCTGTAATACCCAGATAGGCTACATATGAAATAGCATCACTCTGATGAGCTATACTCCAAATTAGAGAGACAAAGGTGTAATCCCAATGCATATCATGAAATGTGGAGTGAAATGGGTACAGCAGGCCCCCCACCCTGCCATGGGGCCTCTGCTGGGGTCCCTCCTTCTCACCTCCATGGGATAAATGATGGTTTGCGCTGTGGCACCAGCCAGGGAGCCAGCCACGAAGCGCTCCTGCACATGCAGTGTCTCCTGCTGCCCCAGGATGGCCCGCTTGATCTGAGGCAGGGAGACACAGGGATGGTTAGGACTGTGGGGGTTGAGCCTTCCTTGCATTCCACTCTTCTCCTGGTTCCACAGAACTGGTCTGCTGTGGGCATTCATGCAGGGGAGCAGATGCCCAATCCTGGGGACCTGTGTTCACCCCAAACCCCCAAGCCAATCCATAAATCTTTGTGTACAGCCCACAGTTCCCTGTGCCAAGCACACTCCTCCCTGTACCTGCCCTCACCTGCTCATAGGCCATGAACTTGATAGCTGACTCAGGGGCAATCTTGAGTACATTAATACCATTGCCACGCCACAGGGAGCGGATACCCCCCTCGAGGACCATGCTTCGAAGGCCCCCCAGGATGTTCAGCCGGTTGGTCTTTGAGGCATGGACCTGAATGGGGAGACAACAGCTTGGAGGTCCCCTCCAAGGTGTCAGGCCTGGGGGTGGGGGCAGGTCTCTCCAGGGCCCCTCACCTGCATGAAGACCTTGAGGCGGTCCAGAGGGGCTGTGCCTGTCCGTGACACGGCACCTGCCACTGCGCCAGCCACCAGTTGCTTCCACCACATGCCCGTCAGCTTCTCCTGCTTTGAGAACTCATCCGGCACTGTCAGGCATTCACCAATGTCCAGGACCTAAGGATACAGGTGCTAAGGGTGTCATGCCATGGCAGGGATGGGGAGATGTGACTCAGTCCTAAATAGGGGAGTCTCCTCCACGAATCCCAGGATACTGTAGAATCTGCCAATGACTCTTGCTTGGAGACCCCAGAAGAGTCCTGCTGGGTCCTACCAGGTGTCACCAAAGCATCTAACCCAGCAGCCTCCTTATAAGATCCTAACATCCCTCCTGGAAACTACTACCAAATCCCACCCAAGCATCTGCCAGATCCCACTAAAGGGTACTAGTCAAGTATCTGCGACATAAAGCTCCCTCCAGGCTGGGTGCAGCAGCTTACACCTTTAGTCCCAGCACTTTGGGAGGCCAAGATGCGAGAATCCCTTGAGGTCAGTAGTTTGAGACCAGCCTGGGCAACATAGCAAGACCCCATCTCTACAAAACTTAGCTGGGCATGTGCGTATAGTCCCAGCTACTCAGGAGGTGGAGGTGGACAGATTGCCTGAGCACAGGGGTTTGAAGCTGCTCTGATCACACCATTGCATTTCAGCCTGGGCAAGAGCAAGACCCTGTCTCTAACAGATCCCTCCAGGGCACATGAGATTCTACTGAAGGATCCCACCCAAGGGTCTTCCATATAAGGATTCCAGAAGATCCCTCCAGGGCCATACAAGATATTCCCAGGCACCACCCATGTAAGGACTCCAGCAGATCCTTTGGGAGCCACCAGATCTCAGAGGGATCTCCTCCAAAGCAAATCCCCTTGTAGGAATCATCTCCCTTCTAGAGTACAGAATTTCCAACCAGGGTCCCCATGAATCCTCTGGGGTTAGAGTCTCTGGATCTCCAAAGAGGTTCTCACCAGATCCCACAGATGGATCCCCTCCAGATGCCATCAGATCCCACCAGATGCACTGCTCATAGATGGTTCACCCAGGAACCAGGGGTCTAGAGCAAACCCCTACCACCCTCTCTAGTGGCTCCCACTGGATCCTCTGAAGACCGTGGTTTTTGAACAGTTCTGTTCAGCAGTAAAATCATTTATCCAAGCAGAGAACCCAGTAGAAGGGAGCTGTGTGGGTGGAGGGTGGGAGGCCTGGCACCCCATCTGGTGAGCTCTTTCTTCCCTGCACCCGCAACCCCCACACGCTGTCCCTAGAGGCCCCATGTAAGTCTCAAGGGCTGCGTTCCAATCAGACAGCAGAGATGTCCCCAACAGGACCCTTGAACCCCAAGTGGGTGAAGAGAGGAACAGATCCTCATTCCTCAGCTGCTGCCAGGGCCTTCTCCTGAGAGTCCTGGCCCAGCTTATCTAAGCCCTAGGAGACTGGAACAAAGCCTGCCCTGGAGAAGAGGGCACAGCCTTCAGCCTGGGAAAGCCACCCCCACCTCACCGTGGAATGCTTCCAGAAATACAGCACATCCTCCACATTTTCCAGCGAATGCAACAGGAAGTGGTCTCGCCATTCTTGCCAGTCAATGGTCATGGTGCCGTCTCGGTCCATGCTGGGGGGAGAAGGGGAAGGTAGAAGGTGGGGGAGGACAGGCTCAGTGCCTGGGGCTGGGCTAGGCGGGGGTGAGGTTCTGCTATGTCTTGCAGTTTGGGAGGTTCAGTTCCTCATATCAACCCTATTGGAGATGTCACAGCATTACTGTCATTTTCTAGAGGGGGAAACTGAGGCTCAGAGAGGCAACTGGTCCCAGATCTGTCTGGCTTCAATTTGAATTTTTCTTTTCCTTTTTTTTCCCAGACAGAGACTCACTCTGTCACCCAGGCTACAGCGCCCTGGCATGATCTTGGCTTACTGCAACCTCCGCCTCCTGGGTTCAAGGAATTCTTGTGCCTCAGCCTCCTAAGTAGCTGGAATTATAGGCATGTGCCACCACGCCTGGCCAGTTTTTGTTAGTAAAGACGGGTTTCACCATGTTGGCCAAGCTGGTCTTAAAACTCCTGGCCTCAAGTGATCCGCCCGCCTTGGCCTCCCAAAGTGCTGGGATTACAGACGGGAGCCACTGCATCCAGCCAGATCCATCTGACTTCAAAGCCCCGACCTCTCAGCTATATCCTCCTTGGGACTGGGTCTGAAGCCCAGAAGACAGAGATGGCCAAGGGATCACTGCATCCTGAGGTACTTGAGATTCCAGATCCCCAGTGACTCACCTATGTAGAATTTTCTCCGCCTGCTCCAGTGAGATGGAAATGCCGAGAGCTCGGAAACTCTGTTGGATCTCAGAGACATCAATGTGACCTGGGGAGGGGCGGAGGTGGGGAGGATGTGGGTATGGGCACCCCGGGGAACCCCAGGACCAAGGATCAGAACAGCTTGGAATGGAGGTGCTTAGCAAGATCAGGGGCTCCAGAAACCCAGGAAGAGGTTTGTGGCAGGGCTGTGGGGGGATCCCTGACTTACTGACTGAGAGGTGGAACTGGGAAGTATTTGCAGGGTGGGGGGGGGATTTTTTTTTTTTTTTAGATAGAGTCTCCCTCTGTCACCAGGCTGGAGTGCAATGGCATGATCTCGGCTGACTGCAACCTCTGCCTCCCGGATTCAAGTGATTCTCCTGCCTCAGCCTCCCAAAGAGCTGGGACTACAGGTGCGCACCACCATGCCCAGCTAATTTTTGTATTTTTAGTAGAGACGGGGTTTCACCATGTTGGTCAGGACAGTCTCGATCTCCTGACCTTATGATCCCCCCGTCTTGGCCTCCCAAAGTGCTGGGATTACAGGCATGAGCCACCTTGCCTGGCCTGGGGGTCTTATTTGTTCTGTGAATGAATGAAGGAAGGAAGGAAGGAAGGAATCCAGGGGTAATTGTAGGGGTCTCTAGGCCACAGGAGATCAAGAGGCAATATCCACAACCTAGATGCTGCTGTGAGAGGATCTCTGTCCCATAGAGATCAGCATGGGGTATCTTTGCCCCCTAGAAAAATCTAAGGGTAATTACGGGGTCCTGCCCCAGAAGGGAAAGGAGGTGGGATGGGCTGGCTGGGCCTTGAACCACCTAGCTGGGGGGTGAGGAGCGCTCCTGAAATAGCCCGTGAGTCATCGGGGAGAAGCGGCCCTCCCCCTCTCCTCCTAGCGCTGCCAGTTCTAACCCCACTGATGTCTCTAGGGCCCCCACAGCCCCATCCCTTGGGGCCTGCAGGACTTACCGTCCTGGTTACGGTCAAGACTGTGAAACATGAGCAGCAGGCGCTGTTCCCGCTCTTGCAGATAGTGGGAAAATTCCTCCAGGTCCAGCCCGCCATCTGGGTCAGCATCACCCTCAGAGGAGATACTCTGGCAGAAGGAAAGGGGACAGAGGTGGCTCCAGGAACCTGCTCCTGATCTGGAGAGGACAAAAGTCAGCTTTTGCCTTAGGAGCCCAGAGCCCCCAGCGCCTTGAAGAAGAGGAGAGAAGACATCATCTCCTCCTTCAATCAGCTTACTTCTCAGCCACATGTCTATGGCGTGGGTATGAGTGGTATAGTTTTCCTGGTGAGAAAACTGAGGCTCGGCAAGGTCAAGCCACTAGTTCAAGGTCACAGAACTGGGAAATGGTAACCTTGCGTTCTCTCTGAAGCCTGTCCTCTCAGCTATCTGTCTCTTGCTTTTAAAGTTACCCCATTCCTGTTGAATCCAGCTACCTCTTAAAAAACCCTGTCCACCTGGGGGTCCCAGGAGTTCCCTTTAGAACTGGGCTACGTGGGGCAGGAGAGAAGCAAGCAGAGTGGCCGGGGCCTTGGTTTTTCTCATCTGGGAAGTGTGAGTTTGGATTGGTCTCAGGGATGCTGTGGTTGGTTTAGGGCCATCTGGGGGTACAGGTGTGGGGAAGGCCTGCAAGATGGAGGTGGGGGTGGGGGGTAATTTGCCTTGCCTTGATAGGTACATTCCCACCTGCGGGTGACCACAGACAGGATTGGGTCTCTGGCTGGGGCAGCCTGGGACAGTGAGCCAAGCCTGCGAAAGAGCCCATGAAAGGGCAGACCAGGAAATGTAAACAGAGAAGGGGCAGCGTAAGGCCAGGGCAGTAGGTGCCCGCAGGAGGATGGAGGGTGTGTCTCCTGGAGGTGGAAGCAGGGCACCTCTTGGGCGGTGCAGGCCAGAGGAAGGTGTCCCAGGCTGTGGGCAGGGAAGCGCCCCCATCTCTTCCCAGGCAGATGCCCCTTACCCCTGGGAAGGGGATCGGTGCTGACTGTGGAAATGCAGGCTTGGGGCCTCAGCGGCCCTATCTTTAGCGATCCCGTTAGGCCAGACACGAGTGGGTAGGGGGAAGGAGACGGAGACACAGGTAGGTAGTCCCTCGGGTGACCGGGCGCGGGCGGGGCTGCGAAGTGGGGGGGCCCTGGGGAAGGGGGTACCTGTTGGGCGCCGGGGTCTGGGTTGCCCCCGCCCAGCCTGGCCAGCCCCTGGCGCAACTCGTGCACGTCCACGCGGCCATCCTTGTTACTGTCCAGCTCCTCGAACAGGCGACCCCATCGCTGCCTCCGCTCCGCGTCGCCGGGGCTCCCCCGCATGGCGCCCGCCCGGGGGGGAGGGGAGGCCCGGCAGCGGCGGCCTCAGCGGGGGCTTCGCGGCTCCCCCTCCCCCCCCGGGACCCCGCAGGGTCAGCTCCCGCGGCCGCCGAGTCCGCAGCCTCCAAGCAGCCCGCTCGGCTCGGGCACTCGCGGGAGGTGGCGACTGCAAGCCGTCGCCGCCGGCGCCAGAACTTGCGTCTCCTCCCCCGACCTGCTTTGGGGGGAGGGGACCGAGGGCGGAGCTGGAGGCGTTGGGAGGGAATGTCTGGGATACTCTGGCATTGCACAGCCGAAGGAGCACCAGAGTTCCTTCTGGGAAGAGGGGCTAGAGCGCTCAGTGGTCTCGGGGGTGCCTCAGTTTACCCTTTCCCCCTTTGCCCAAGGGGGCGAGGTAGAGCGCTGTCGAGGATTGGGTTTTATAATCCCCTTCCACTTGACCGCACCCCCCCCCCCCACTAATCTTCAGGAATTCAAGTTCTCGCTTTTCCCAGACGCACGCAAGAACCCTGCACCATCTCGCTCTCTCTCGGCCCGCCCGCGCCTGGCACCTTCCCCACCCCGCGGCAGAAACAGAAGATCAAGGCGCGGTGCGCTCCCACCGTCCCTTCCTCCCGCTCGCGCGCCTCCTTTCTCGGTCCCACTCGGACTGGGAACCAGAAGATCAATATGCGGCGCGGCTGCAAAGTCGGCTTCCGATTGGTCAGCACCGCCTAAGCTGAGCCCGCACGCCCGGCCTCTCCTCCCACCTGGGCGGGGCCTCAGCGCCGACCCCCGGCAGCCTCGGGCCAGCAGTCCCACCGCCTGCCAGGAGATCTTAAAGGGGCCGCGGCCGCAATCAGACACTGGGTGACGTGGGAGGAGATGGCTCAGTGTCCCTTGCGTTACTGGGGTTGAGGATCCCGGTGGTCAAGCGCTGGAGGCGGAGCCCCAGGCTGTCGCTCTGGTTGCACCTGCGGAAGGTCTCTACTAGTTTCAGGCGCAGTTTCTCTCTCCACCATTAGGGGGAAGGGAGCACAGACCACAAGCACAGACCACTTGACAGCGAATAATAATAACAAAAGCTCACTTTGATTCCGTGCGTTGCACGTGCCAGGGCTGTTACTCACCTCTCGCGTCGTCCTTGCCCAAACCCTATAAGGTAGCTGGAACTGGGTTCCCACTTTGCAGATAGGGAAATGTTCTGATGCCCACTAAGAGGCAAAGTAGGGAGTTTAAAGAGGTCTGGGATCCTTAGCCATCACTCTATACCCTAGAAGGAATTAATTATCTTTTTTTTTTTTTTTTTTTTTTGAGATGGAGTCTCACTCTGTCACCCAGGCTGGAGTGCAATGGCGCGATCACGGCTCACTGCAACCTCCGCCTCCCGGGTTCTAGTGATTCTCCTGCCTCAGCCTCCCAAATAGCTAGAATTACAGGCGCCAGGTAAGTTTTGTATTTTTAGTAGAGATGGGGGTTTCACCATATTGGCCAGGCTGGTCTCAAACTCCTGACTTTAGGTAATCCTCCCGCGTCAGCCTCCCAAAGTGCTGGGATTACAGGTGTGAGTCACCGCGCCTGGCCTGGCGTAATTATTCTTTCTTTTTTTGAGACAGAGTTTCGCTCTTGTTACCCAGGCTAGAGTGCAATGGCGCGATCTGGCTCACCACAACCTCCGCCTCCTGGGTTCAGGCAATTCTCCTGCCTCAGCCTCCTGAGTAGCTGAGATTACAGGCACGCGCCACCGTGCCCAGCTAATTTTTTGTATTTTTAGTAGAGACAGAGTTTCACCATGTTGACCAGGATGGTCTCGATCTCTTGACCTGGTGATCCACCCACCTCGGCCTCCCAAAGTGCTGGGATTACAGGCTTGAGTCACGGTGCCCAGCCTATTCTTTAATAATCACTCATCAGCCAACAACCCTCAGGAGGGGGTCTTGTTATTATCATCATCCTTTATCCAAAGATACAGCATTGGTCGGGCTCAATGGCTTAGGCCTCTAATTCCAGCACTTTGGGAGGACAAGGTGGGAGGATCACTTGGAGTCAGGAGTTTAAGGCCAGCCTGGGCAATAGCAAGACCTCCATCTCTGCAATAATAATAAATTTTAAAAAAGAAAGAAAACAAAGATACATCCGTGAGAGCACATTTTGTTCACGCCCAGCCTCTGCCTAGACAGGTGTGCCCCAGACAAATGAGGCTCCTCTAAGGGGCTCCCCTAGCAGATGCTTTCAATCACAGTTGTTCCCTTCAGGCTCCATACTAAATAGAGAGCTACAGAGATGTTTTCCATGTAGGTGCCCCCAAAGAGGTGTTTTCTCACAGATGCATTTTTGACAGGTGGGACTCAGTATATGTGAGCCACTGCCCTGCTGGTTTTACCCACAGATGTGCATCCATGTGAATGTGCCTCACGAAGATCTTCCAAGTTCTTCCCCTCATTTGAGCTCAATTTCACACAGGTGTTCCTCCTCCAAGGCACTTTCTCTTACCTCACAGGTATGTTTCTGAACAGGTTCCCTCCACCCATGAATGCATTCTACAGTCTCCCTCCCCACAGGTGTGTTTAAGATACACCCATCTGGGTATATTGCCATATAACCGAGTCCCATACAGGTATACTTAAATGCAGGCGTGTCTCATACAGGTATTTACAAGACACTGACACCCAGGAATTCCCCAATACAAGGGCTGTACCTTTCACAGGTGAGCCGTGCAGATGTGTTCCCAAAACAGGTCTTTTCCACACCAGAGTGCCTTATGTTTGCGATAATGCAAGTGTGTTCTATAGACATGTTTTCCACCCTGGTATGTATTCATTTTCTTGTATTTCATATAGATGTAATTCAATGCAGATTTTTTCTTTTGAGATGGAGTTTCACTCTTGTCATCCAGGCTGGAGTGCAATGGGGCAGTTTCGGCTCACTGCATCCTACGTGTCCGGGGGTTCAAGAGATTCCCCTGCTTCAGCCTCCCTGTAGCTGAGATTACAGGCGCCCACAACCACACGCAGTTAATTTTTTTTTTTTTTTTTGAGATGGGGTCTGCTCTGTTGCCCAGGCTGGAGTGCAGTGGCATGATCTCAGCTCACTGCAACCTCCACCTCCCAGATTCAAGTGATTCTCCTGCCTTAACCTCCTGAGTAGCTGGGATTACAGGCGTGTGTCACCTAGCCCAGCTAATTTTTGTATTTTTAGTAGAGACAGGTTTTCACCATGTTGGTCAGGTTGGTCTCGAACTTCTGACCTCATAATCTGCCTGCCTTGGCCTCCCAAAGTGCTGGGATTACAGGCGCCAGCCACCATGGTCAGCCAGATATTTTCTGTATGCTCTTCTTATATGTGGACGCCCGTATAGGAGTCTTCTGTACAGGCTTGGTTCCCCACAGGTCTCAAGAGACGGTCTCATTTTGTTACCCAGGCTGGAATACAGTAGTAGGATCATAGTGCGCTCACTGTAACCTCCACTCCTGGGCTCAGTGGATCCTCCCATCTCAGCCTCCCAAGTAGCTGGGACTACGGGTGCGTGCCATCACGTCCGGCTAATTTTCTTATTTTTTTTTGGTAAAGATGGGGCTTCCCTATATTGTCCAGGCTGATCTCGAACTCCTAGCCTCCAGTGATTCTCTTGCTTTGGCCTTTCTAAGCGCTGGGATTACAGGATCATGCCACTCTGGCGCCGGGCTTATTTATTTATTTATTTTGGTAGAGACAGAAGTCTTTCTGTGTTACCCAAGCTGATCTCGGACTCCTGGCTTCAAGCGATCCTCTTGCTTTGGCCTTTCAAAGCGCTGGGATTACAGGATCACGCTACCGCTCTCGGCTTCTTTTCTTTTCTTTTTTTTTTTGTAGAGAAAGAGGGCTTGCTGTGTTGCCCAGGTTGGTCTCGGACTCCTGGCCTCAAGCAAATGCCTCGGCCTCTCAAATGCTGGGATTACAGCGTGAGTCATTGCGCCTAGGCAGGTGTTTTTCGACGTTAAGCACTCCCCATCCAAGTCTGCCCTAGGCAAGAATGCCTCGTGCACGGGTACTTACTGACATACTCCTTGCGTCTCCAAACCTGTGCGCTCCTACAAATGGGCTTGCAATGCAGGTGTGAGGTCCTCCTCACACCTGCTCGCCTTCGCGGTCTCCCTCCCCCCCATCCCCCTGACGGGACTGGGTTCCCGTTACAGGTGCGCTGCAGCGTGGCCCCGCCCCCTTCTCGGCTCCGCCCTCTCATCCAGGCTCAGGTGCACAAGCCGGAAGTGCGCTCTCCTCCCAGGTGAGTGACTAAACTTTCCGGGTCACGTGAGCGGGCGGAGCCGGTGGGATCGGACCGAAAGCCCGACCGACGGACGGAGGGTTCGAGGGAGGGACACGGACCAGGAACCTGAGCTAGGTCAAAGACGCCCGGGCCAGGTAGGAAGGCAGGACGCACCGCTAGGCCTGCACCCTACGCCCCTCCACCCTCCCCCGTCCCGTCCCGTCCGGTCCCCTTCCTTTCCCGAGCCCAGGAACGCGCTCCCTGGAGTTAATCTTTAATCGCTGACCTCTGGCGGCTGGTGCGGGGCGGGACTCATGGGTGCCCTGGCGCCAGTGTCCAGACCCCGATCCTAACGCCCGGGCCTCTCTCCTCCCCCCGCTCCCAGGTGCCCCGTCGCAGGTGCCCCCGGCCGGAGATGCGGTAGGAGGGGCGCGTGCGAGAAGCCCCTTCCTCGGCGCTGCCAACCCGCCACCCAGCCCATGGCGAACCCCGGCCTGGGGCTGCTTTTGGCGCTGGGCCTGCCGTTCCTGCTGGCCCGCTGGGGCCGAGCGTGGGGCCAAGGTAGGTACCGGCTGAGAGTGCTGGGGGGAGGGGTCCGGATTCCTGGGTCTCTGCTGGGGACGTGGCTTAGAAGCATTGGGTATCTGAGTCACAGAGAGGGTCAAGAATTGGGGATCGGGCCATACGTTGGGGAGGGGTCTACGGATTGGGGGAGGGGTTAGGATTTTTAGTTTCTTCCTTGGACAGTGGGAGTTGGTCCAGGAGACCTGAGTTCCTGAGTGGGGTGGAATTGTGTGTTGGAGTGGAGGTTGCTAAGTAGGACTTAAAGGAAGGTAAGGGCTATGTACTTGAGTCTTGGGATAGTGCAGGTGTTTTGGGTGAACTGGGAGCTGGGAGGTCTGCCGAGTCCGGTCGACCCGGTTGGCTGAAGGGGTAGACCCCAGTCATTCAGTCTTAGATTCGTTTCGGGAGCCTGCGGGGAGGTGTGAGTCAGACACTCCAGGGAAGAGCTAGACCCGCCCAGATCCTTAAGGGACCAGGGCCGAGAGGTGAGTGGGGGAGGGTTGGGCTTCTGGACACCGTGCTGGGCTCTGCTGGGCTGGGGTGGGGTGGGGTGGGGTGGGGGAGCGTCTGGAGGAGCAAACACCTAGAGGAACGGGTCGGGTCGTGCCAGTAGGGCACACACTGTGTGCGAATGAAAGGCTCAGTGGGGTGTAGTTTGAATTGCCTGCTGGGGGGTGGCAAAGAGGAGTGCCCCAAGCAGGTGCAGGTGGGTGGGGATGGGACAGAAAGATGGAGACTGATTTATTCACTGCCTTCACCCTCCACAGTACCTACCTCTTCTGCAAATGAGAGTAGCACTGTTTTGCCTACATCCACCAGCCCCAGCTCCAGCTCCAGCTCCAATGGCACCCTGGTGAGTGGAGGTCTGTGTGGGAAGATGGCAGCGAGGATATTATCCAGGGGTCACACATACAGCACATTAGCATGCAGAGAGGACAGGACACCTCCTTCCCCCAGAGGTGGCAGGTCAGGGTAGCTTTGGAGAGTTTTAAGTAGGAGAGACCTAAAGTCTTAGACCAGGAAGACTAGGAGACCCTGGAGGGAGAGACAAGAATACTGCACCTGTCAGGTGTGGGGGCTCAGAAACTCCACATGCCTCTCAGGTGGGTGGGGGAGCAAGGAGCTCAGACTTGCTAGGTGTGATGAAAGCAGGAGTCCCTGCCGGGCATGGTAGCTCATTCCTATAATAGCACATTGGGAGGCTGAGGCGGGCGGATCACAAGGTCAGGAGTTTGAGACCAGCCTGACCAACATGGTGAAACCCTGTTTCTAATAAAAATACAAAAAATTAGCCAGGTGTTGGAGCACACATGCCTGTAATCCCAGCTACTCAGGAGGCTGAGGCAGGGAGATTACTTGAGCCCATGAGGCAGAAGCTGCAGTGAGCTGAGATCCTGTCACTGTACTCCAGCCTGGGTGACAGAGCAAGACTCTGTCTCAAAAAAAAAAAAAAAAGCCGGAGTCCCAGACATGGCAGGTGGTCGGGAGCCTTGGTGCCCCAGGCAAGGTAGGCAGGGATCCAGGAAGCCCCAGTGTGGGGACCAGATTACCAAAAGTGGCAGATATGTGTGTGCATGGGGGGCAGAGGGGGGAGGGCGATACCATTCAGGTGGAAGTGGACAGGCTCCCCGGCTCATGTGATTCACACCTGTCCCCTCTCTGTAGTCTCAGGGGGCCATCACTGCTATCATTGTGGTCTTCTCCATCCTGGCCGCCTTGCTCCTGGCGGTGGGGCTGGCACTGTTGGTGCGGAAGCTTCGGGAGAAGCGGCAGACAGAGGGCACCTACCGGCCCAGCAGCGAGGAGCAGGTGGGTGCCCGTGTGCCACCGACCCCCAACCTCAAGTTGCCGCCAGAGGAGCGGCTCATCTGAACGCTGGGGCCTGCTGCAGCCACCAACACTACCCAGGAATGCCGGGTGCTGGCTTGTACACCGCAGCTGCCACCGGGACACCAGCCTCTGATGGCTCAGCAGGACTTTGGGGGAGAGGCTGGGGGCACCCACCTGGCGGGCTCTCTGTAGCATGCTGCCTCTGCTTGGCTGTGCCTGCAGCTCAGGGTGCTGGGGCTCGGGACCCACCGCCCTGCTTGCAGAACCGACTTTTCTCTGCGTGTCCTGCAGGCCCCACAACCCCCTCTCCTTTCTTTCAGTTCTCTCATGCGGCCGAGGCCCGGGCCCCTCAGGACTCCAAGGAGACGGTGCGGGGCTGCCTGCCCATCTAGGTCCCCTCTCCTGCATCTGTCTCCCTTCATTGCTGTGTGACCTTGGGGAAAGGCAGTGCCCTCTCTGGGCTGTCAGATCCACCCAGTGCTTAAGAATAGCAGGGAAGAAAGTGCTTCAAAGACTCTGCCCCTGAGGTCAAGGGAGGATGGGGCTATTCACTTTTATATATTTATATAAAATTAGTAGTGAGGTGTAATAAAAGCTTTTTTGTGCTTGAGCTGGTGGGGGCATTAGCCTAGATGGAAGTGACAAATGCCAGGAGGAACGGTTGCAAGGATCCTCTTGGATCAGAGGCTTCCCTGCCAGGAGCCAGTTAGAGAGGCCGCCCTTAGGGACAGAGGTGGGTGGGATGGGTTTCTGAGCAGAGTGAGGGCACCAAAAAAATTCACCAGGAAAAGACAGCTTTGGGCTCTTATGGCTTTATTGAGGGACTGAGGTCTCCCCTGGACCCCTGATTCTTTTTTTTTTTTTTGAGATGGAGTCTCACTCTGGCGCCCAGGCTGGAGTGCAGGCGTGATCTCAGCTCACTGCAACCTCCACCTCCTGTGGAGGTTCGAGTGATTCTCCTGCCTCAGCCCCCCGAGTAGCTGGGACTACTGGCGTATGCCACCGCAGCCGGCTAATTTGTTATTTTTAGTAAAGACGGGGTTTCACTATGTTGGCCAGGCTGGTCTCAGGTGATCCACCCACCTCGGCCTCCCAAAGTGCTGGGATTATGGGCATGAACCACTGTGCCCAGCTGGACCTGATTCTTAACCCTCAAAGCACTTCTTAAGATCAGCCACTCTGGGCCCGCTGCTGGGCTGGGGCTTTTGCCAATTGCTGGTGGAAGAATCTGGGGCTCCTGGTTCCTCAAGTGGCTGGAGGGGAGCGTGCTCTGCTAGCAAGGCCTTGGGAGGCTGGGCTCTGGGGTTCTCCAGGGAACTGTGGTCTGAGGAAGGATCAAGGTGCTGGGCCATCCAAGCCGTATCAAAGCTGGGTTTTGTGGGGGCCAGAATTTGGGGGCTTTCTGGAGGGCTGGGCTGGTTGGGTATGGGGGAGAGCCAAGAAGTGGGGTTTTCCTGGGCTCTAGAATCTTCAGCTGCCTTGTAGGAAGGGGTGAGATGAAGAATTAGGGGTTCTATGAGAGGAGAGGGTTTGGGGTCCCCCCGGAAGTGTGGGTCTGCAGAGGCTGGTGAGGTCTGAGATGGAGAGATGACTTGTTGGTCAGACTCTGAGCATATCAGCTGGGACCTAGGGTCCTTTGAGGAGCTGGTGGCATCCAAAGATGGGGCGTTTTGCAGAGACAGCAGGTCTGCCGGCAGGGACAGGGACAGGGTCTGGGGCTCTGGTAGTTTCTTTTCGTCTGGTTGCCACCTTGGTATGTTGGGCTGGGTGGGATGGAGGGATAGGGAAGTTGTGGCTTTTAGATGTCAGAGGGGCTGGCAAGTTGAATGGACCATTAGGGGAAGACTTGGGGTGGGGCTGGGGAGTGGGCGAGGCTCTCACCAGGCTGGAGCAGCTGTCCAGGTCTCCTCTGTGACAGCAGTCTAAACTCTGGCTTGGTCTCAAGCTGCCTGCACTCTTGGCTCCCACACTAAGACTGTCCAGAATCTCACTCAACAAATCCAGTTCTTCTCCAGACCCCAAGAAGCTGCTGTCCAGAGCTTCTTCTGCCCAAGGGCACCTCTCATCCTCAGGTGTTAGAGGGGGTGTCCTGGGTGAGGATGGGCAGCCTCAGATATTTGCCCAAGCCCCCCAGCCCTGGTGGGGCTGCTCTGGAGTTTGGGAACCCTCCTCCCCATCAGTCCCGGCCTCCCACTTTCAACACTGCTGTTCCCTTCAGTCTTACCCTGCCCCTAGGGGCTCAGAAGGTCCCTCTTCCAGTCGGCGTCTCCTGCTGGGGCGAAGGGGCCGATTCTGCAAAGGGTAGGGGCCATAGGACCTCAGGAGGCTGCAGAATTTGGGGGCTGAGGCTTGCTGGAGGAAGGTGAGTGTGAAGTGGGTGCCAAATATCAGGGGGTTGAAGGAGGAGGTGAGATGTCTGGATAGGGACTGGGATGGGTGGAGGATTCAGTGATAATTCCAGGTGTGTGCGTAGGGGGAGGGGCACTCTCACCTGTCCAAAGTGCTGAGTGATTGGGAGGCGTTGCTGCAGGCGGTCTGAGCGGCTGGTGAGGGCTGGAACCCTCAGGGAGCCCCCCCTCTGCAGGTTAGAGTCCCCATCCTAGGAAGAGAATGCATGAACTGGGAACCTCTGCCAGGGAACCTCCCCCCAGGCCCCACCATTGTTTTTTTTTTTTTGTGATGGAGTTTCATTCATGTTGCCCAGGCTGGAGTGCAATGGCGAGATCTTGGCTCACTGCAACCTCCACCTCCCCTCCTGGGTTCTAGCGATACTCATGCCTCACTCAGCCTCCTGAGTAGCTGGAATTACAGACGCTTGCCACCACGCTTGGCTGATTTGTGTGTGTGTGTGTGTGTGTGTGTATATATGTATGTATGTATTTTTTTTTAAGTAGAGACGGGGTTTCCCCATGTTGGTCAGGCTGGTCTTGAACTCCTGACATCAGGTGATCCGCCCACCTCGGCCTCCCAAAGTGCTAGGATTACAGGTGTGAGCCACCAGGCTTGGCCTCAGTCGTCTTGTTTTTGAGACCGGGTCTCTCTGTCACCCAGGCTGGTATGCAGTGGCACTATCTCAGCACACTGCAACCTCTACCTCCTGGGCTCGAGGAATCCATGCTCAGCTAATTTTTAAATACATTTTTTAGAGACAGGGTCCCACTATATTTTCCAAACTGGTCTCAAAGTCCTGGGCTCAAGTGATTCTCCTGCCTCAGCTTCCCAAAGTGCTGGGATTACAGGGGTGAGCTACCGCACCAGGCCAGCTGCCCTTACCTTATACATTAGAAGGCTCTGTACTCCCTTCAAGCCACTCTTGGCCTATTAAAGAGCAGAGGGACAATGACCTGAGGTGATGAGATCCTGGACATTTGAGAGCTCAGACTTCTGTCCCCTAAGATAGCTTTATCTTGCCACCTGTCCATCTCCATGTCTCAAATATGCTCACCACCCCCAGATACCACCTAAGAAGTCAGTGCAAACTTTCACCCCTTTGACTAATATGAAGCAAGTATTTCCGGAGGAAGTCATCCAGAAATAAAATGGGAGCCACAAAGCAACATGGCAAAGTGCTCCTGTCTCAAAGCAGTGAAGAGGAAAATCGCATGGACAGTTTCAAGCTGCAAAAATTGGCACCAGGAAGCTTCTAGGCTTGGGGGAAAAAAGGCAGAGCTGGAATTGTAGCATTGGAGGACAAAGAATGTTTGCCAGTGAACCTTGGCTGTCAGTTTTAAAGGGGAAGGGTAGAATTCCCACAATGAGTATCACAAACACAAAATAAAAGGGGGAAGAGTTGTGAATGGTTTAACTGCTGGTTCAGTTCTGATTAAATCTTGTTCGTTTAAAGTTTAAAGTGTCTGCGGGGTCAAAATGTTCCTTCCCTTGGGAGATCAAACTATCCTCTGTCCCCTCCCCCTTGTCACCCCAGCAAGAGTGGCCTGCCCAGCCCAGTCTCACCGAGCGGTACATGTTCTTGACGGCTGGTTGGGTCTTGGCCTTGACTGAATGCAGGAGGGCACCTCCACCTTTCTGGGGGAGAGAAGATACCAAGGGAGAGAGGCTCAGGCCAGATCCATCCCACTTCCCATCCCAGGTCGTGGCATGCTGATCAAGCCCCTTTCCCTCTCTGAGTCCCCATTTTTTCACCTCTATAAATGAATGTGATCACAGTCATCACCCTACCTGGTGACTGTGGTGGGATTATATTAATCCAATGAGACATCCTTAACAAGTGTTTTTGTTTTTTTGAGGAGGTGGAGTCTCAAAGAACAGAGTTTTGTTTTGTTTGTTTTCCTGAGATAGAGTCTTGCTGTGTCACCCAGGCTGGAATGTAGTGGTGCCATCTTGGCTCACTGCAATCTCTGCCTCCTGGGTTCAAACAATTCTACTGCCTCAGCTTCCCGAGTAGCTGGGATTACAGGCACCCGCCACGATGCCTGAGTAATTTTTGTATTTTTAGTAGAGATGATGGGGTTTCACCATATTGGCCTGGCTGGTCTCAAACTCCTGACCTCGGGCAATTCACTTGCCTCAGCCTCCAAAAGTGCTGGGATTGCAGACACGAGTCACCGTGCACAGCCAACAGATGGTTTTGAGACAAGGTCTTGCTCTGTCGCCAGGATGGAGTGCAGTGGCATGATCTCACTGCAACCTCTGCCTCCTGGGCACAAGCCATCTTTCCACCTAGGCCTCTCGAGTAGCTGGGACTACAGCCACACGTGGCTAATTGTGTTTATGTGTGTGTTTTTGTTTTTTTGAGACAGAGTCTTGCTCTGTCACCCAGGCTGGAGTGGAGTGGTGTGATCTTGGCTCACTGCAACCTTCGCTTCCTGGGTTCAAGCGATTCTCCTGCCTCAGCCTCCCAAGTAGCTGGGACTACAGGCATGTGCCACCATGCCCGGCTAATTTTTTGTATTTTTAGTAGAGACGGAGTTTCACCATGTTAGTGAGGGTAGTCTTGATCTCCTGACCTCGTGATCCACCCACCTTGGCCTCCCAAAGTGCTGGGATTACAGGCATGAGCCACCTCGCTCAGCCTAACTTTTCTATTTTTTGAAGTAGAGATGGGGTTTTGCCATGTTGTGCTGGCTGGTCTCAAACTTCTGGTCTGGGCAATCCTTCTGCCTCCACCTCCCAATGCTGGGGTTACAGGCATGAGCCACCCCACCCGGCCTATCGTTTTGGTGTTCATACCTTCAGATTGTCGGCCCAGAGCTGATAGGATCGAAGGGCCCCTGGAGTAAGCAGAGAGTTCGGAGGTCACCAAAGGCTGGCTAAGGCTGGGGGTGGAGGTGGGTGGGGGGAGCCGGGGGCTGGACTCAGGGCTCACCTGAGGAGGCCCCGCAGCTGGAGATCTCCTGCTCGAATTGATCTGAGAAGCCCTCCCCATTGTTGAGCTTCTCCAGTCGGGATTCAATGAACTGCGGTGGGGGACAGAAAATGAGAAGCAGACACGTCGGAATCCCAGGGCATCACAGCCTGCCTGCTGTCAAGATGTAGAAGCCATCTCTGACCTCCAGCCTGCCCATCCCCAAGCACCTGGGAAACTGGAGCCCACTTTATTTATTTACTTTTCAAGATAGAGTCTCACTCTGTCACCCAGGATGGAGTACAGGGGAGCAATCTTGGCTCAATGCAACCTCCACCTCCCGGGTTCAAGCGATTCTCCTGCCTCAGCCTCTCGAGTAGCTGGGATTACAGGCATGCACCACCACACCCAGCTAATTTTTGTATTGTTAATAGAGACAGGGTTTCAACATGTTGGCCAGGCTGGTCTCAAACTCCTGACCTCAGGTGATCTGCTGGCCTCAGGCTCCCAAAGTGCTGGGATTACAAGCATGAGCCACTGCCCCTGACCTGGAGCCCCAACTTTAGGAAGCAGAGATCCCACCTTCTCTTCCCTCCCCAAGTGAGGAACTGTTCCCAGGGACCAAGCCCCACCCTTTGCAGGGACCCAGAAATGGAATTCTGCCCTCTTTACCCACCAGCTCTCAGTGAGCCAAGAGTAGGTTGACCCCATCTTGTTTATTTATTTATTTTATAAAGACGGGGTTTCACCATGTTGGTCAGGCTGGTCTTGAACTCCCGACCTCAGGTGATCCACCTGCCTTGGCCTCCAAAGTGTTTGGATTATAGGCATGAGCCACCATCCCCAGCCAACCCCATCTTTAGTAATCTTGGGGTCCAAGCTATCTTCTCCCAGGAACCTAGAAGTTCAGCCCCACCTACTACCCCTCCCCCCATATCCTTAAGTCTTGGGAAATCCTGGGACCTACCTGCTCTGGAGTCCAGCTCAGACAAACACCCTAGTCACGGGAAGATACCTGCTTAGGGACCTGGGAATTTGGTCCCACCCTGATTTCCCTCAGGGACCTAGGATAGGTCTTGTTCCCCAGGAACCCAGGAGTTGAGGGCTTCCATCTTTTTTTTTTTTGAGACAGAGTCTCGTTCTGTCACCCAGGCTGGAATGCAGTGGCATGATCTTGGCTCACTGCAACCTTCATCTCCCGAGTTTAAGCAATTCTCCTGCCTCAGCCTCCCCAGTAGCTGGGATTATAGGTGCACACCACCACACCCAGCTAATTTTTATATTGTTAGTAGAGACAGGGTTTCACCATGTTGGCCAGGTGATCCACCCTCCTGGGCCTCCAAAAGTGCCGGGATTACAGGTGTGAGCCACTGAGCCTGGCCGGGGGCTCCCATCTTTAGGAATCCAGGAGTTCAATCCTTGCCCACCTGGGAACTCTGGAGTGGGGGATCCTGTTGGCCTGTCTCCAGCCATACCCTCAGGGACCTAGGAGTCTACCCTCAACCCTGCCAGTTCAGACCAGCCCTCGGGGACTCAGAAGTCCTCCTCCAGCCCCGGCTGTACCCTCCGGGTTCTGGCATACCTGTTTGAACAGCTGCAGGTGCACAGCCCGCCGATGGAAGGCCTGCAGGGGTGCCCCAGGCTTCTGGGCCAAGAAGGCTTCCTCACTGAAGGTCACTGGCTGGCCCTGGAAGAAGCGTCAGAGTTCTGAGCTTCCTGGGGTGCTCCTGTCCCTCCCTCATTCTACCATATATTTATATAGCAAACATTGATTAGGCACCTGCTGTGTGCCTGACCCTGTGTGGGCCTCTTGCTCTATCACCCAGGCTGGAGTGCAGTGGTTCAATCTTGGCTCGCTGCAACCTCTGCCTTCTGGATTCAAGCAATTCTGCCTCAGACTCCTGAGTAGCTGGGGTTACAGGCATGTACAACTATGCCCTGCTATTGTATTTTTAGTAGAGATGGGGCCTCACCATGTTAGCCAGGCTGGTTTCGAACTCCTTACCTCGTGATCTGCTCGCCTCAGCCTCCCAAACTGCTGAGATTACAGGCGTGAGCCACCGCGCCCAGCCCCCATTTCTTTTTTTGAGTTGGGGTCTCACTCTGTCATCTGTGTTGGAATGCAGTGGTGCGATCTCTGTTCACTGCAACCTCTGCCTCCTGAGCTCAAGTGATCCTCCCACCTCAGCCTCCCAAGTAGCTGGGACCAAGGGGTACACCACCATGCCCAGCTAGTTTTTGTGGAGATGGGGTCTCACTATGTTTCCCAGTCTGGTCTGAACTCCTGGGCTCAAGCAATCCACCCACCTTGGCCTCTCAGAGTGCTGGTATTACAGATGTGAGTCACTGATCTGGCTAATTTAAGCGTTTATCTCAGTAAGGTAGAAGCCCTGGAGGGCTGTAGGCAGGGGAGGGACCGACTGGTAGTGACCTCTGGCCACTGCAGGGAGGACAGACTCTGGGAGATGAAGGCAGATGCCTGCTTGCGGGGGGCCAGGAGTGGTGGCTCATGCCTGTAATCCCAGCACTCCAGGAGGATGAGGTGGGCAGATCACCTGAGGTCTGGAGTTCGAGACCAGCCTGGCTAACACAGTGAAACCCCCATCTCTACCAAAAATACAAAAACTGCTGGGTACGGTGGCTCAAGCCTGTAATCTCAGCATTTTGGGAGGCCAATCATCTGAGGTCAGGAGTTCAAGACCAGCCTGACCAACATGGAGAAACCCCGTCTCTAGTAAAAATACAACATTAGCTCGGCATGGTGGTGCATGCCTGTAATCCCAGCTACTCGGGAGGGTAGACAGGAGAATCGCTTGAACCCAGGAGGAAGAAGTTGAAGTGAGCCAAGATAGCGCCTTTCCACTCCAGCGTGGGCAACAAGAGAAAACTCCGTCTCAAAAAAAAAAGAAAAAAAAAAATACAAAAATTGGCCAATGTGGCATGGTATGTGCCTGTAATCTCAGTTACTTGGGAGGCTGAGGCAGGAGAATTGCTTGGACCTGTGAGGTGGAGGTTGCAGTGAGCTGAGATTATGCCACAGCACTCCAGTGCCTGGGGCAAGAGAGCAAGATTCTGTCTCAAAAAAAAAAAAAAAGAGACCTGCTTGTGAGGGAGTCGCAGGGGTGGGGGAGAGATCAGTGCGTTAATTTCAGGCAATTATGGGGTCCATTCCGAGTGGAGACAGAGGAAGTAGGTGGTAGGTGTGCGATTCAGAATGCAGAGATGACAAGAGTGTCCGATGCTCAAGTGATACTGGAACTCCCCAGTTTTTATGGATTGTTCATGAAAAATAGGGGAGGGGACTTCAGAGAGCAAGGTCCTGGCTTCAACATTCACCCACTGTGGACTCTTTCAAGCCTTGGTTTCCTCATATGGAAAATGGGACTATCACAGTATCCTTCTCAAAATGTTATGGGCATTAAATGAGAGAATAACAGTAGAAGCTAGCATTTATTGAGTGCTTGCTGTATGCCAGGTATGATCCAAAGTGCAGGGAAGATGCTGATTCACTGATTCCAGTATCCTTTTGGGTGGCACTATTTGGGTCCCATTTTACAGATGGGCAAACAGAGGCACAAAGTAAGCACTTCATTAATGCTACCTATCATCATCATCATTATTATTATTTTTCCTTGCCCCTCCATTATTATTTTAATTAAAAAAAAAAAGAAAAAGACGGTGGCCGGGCATGGTGGCTCACGCCTCAAATCCCAGTACTTTGGGAGCCCAAGGCAGGCAGATCACCTGAGGTCAGGAGTTCAAGACTAGCCTGGCTAACATGGGGAAACCCCGTTTTTACTAAAACTACAAAAATTAGCTGGGTGTGGTGGTGCACGATTGTCATCCCTCAGACTCTTTTTTTTTTTTTTTTGCGACGAAGTTTTGCTCGTGTCACCCAGGCTGAAGTGCAATGGTGCGATCTTGGCTCACCGCAACCTCCGCCTCCTGGGTTCAGGCAATTCTCCTGCCTCAGCCTCCTGAGTAGCTGGGATTACAGGCGCGCACCACCATGCCCAGCTAATTTTTTGTATTTTTAGTAGAGACAGGGTTTCACCATGTTGACCAGGATGGTCTCGATCTCTTGACCTTGTGATCCACCCGCCTAGGCCTCCCAAAGTGCTGGGATTACAGGCGTGAGCCACTGTGCCCGGCTCCCTCAGACTCTCGAGTAGTAGTCCCAACTACTGGAGAGTCTGAGGGAGGAGAATCGCTTTAACCTGGGAGGCAGAGGTTGCAGTGAGCCGAGATTGCGCTACTGTACTTCAGTCTGGGTGACAGTGTGAAACTCCGTCTCAGAGTTGGGGGGCGGGGTGGGAAGAAACTCTGTCTCAAAAACAAACAAACAAAAAAACATAGAGGGGTGGGTTTGCCCAGTCTGGTCTTGAACTTCTGGGCTCAAGCAATTCTCCCATCTTGGCCTCCCAAAGTGTTGGGATTACAGGTGTGAGCCACTGCCTTTGGCCATCTATTATACCTATGATTACGATTATTATTTGTTTTTCAGACGGAGTCTCACTCTTGTCGCCCAGGCTGAAGTGCAGTGGTGCGATCTCGGCTCACTGCAACCTCCGCCTCCCAGGTTGAAGCGATTCTGTCTCAGCCTCCTGAGTAGCTGGGATTACATGCCTGCCACCACGCCCAGCTATTTTTTTTTTTTTTTTTTTTGTATTTTTAGTAGAGACAGGGTTTCACCATCTTGGCAGGCTGGTTTTGAACTCCTGACCTCGTGATTCACCCGCCTCGGTCTCCAAAGTGCTGGGATTACAGGCGTGAGCCACCGCGCCTGGCCCCTGTGCCTATCATTATCATTGTGATTCATTCAGCGACTCATTCAGGAATCCACGAGACCTCTCCCGCAACGTCCCCACTGCTCACCGGGCTGCAGACCAGGGCATCTCGGTATCCCCCGAAGAGCAGGGCCTGGGCTTTGAGGAAGAGACGAGACACCCCTTCCCCGGGGGCCAGAGCGACCTTCCTGAGCCGGAGCCTCAGCAGGGACACCTGGAGCACAGGAGAGTAGCCCTGAGTGGGTAGGTGTGGGGCGTCCTTCTCCCGGGGCAGGAGGGAGGGAGGGGCGACACTGACCACGTCTGGGGGCAGCGCCTGCACATCGTTAAAGGCCGTCTCCAATGTATTGGTATCCACGTTCAGCACCACGACATCTTCCAGGGCTTTTTCTCGCACTTTCTGCGGAAAAGCAGGGCCGACTGCTCAGAGCCGGAGGATCCTTTGGCAGAGGAGGGTATCTCGGGATGTAGGGGGAGGCGGAACTCTCACGTCCCTGTCATCTGGGTGGATCCGTGCTTACCTCGGCGAGACTGGCGTGCACTCCAATGAGGTAGGGCATGGGCGCGCTGTGGACCGAGGGGATGGGGTCATGCAGGCACCGCCCCCAGGCCCTGCCCCTCCCAGCTCCCCTCGCTCACCAGCAGTAGTCCAGCAGGTGCGGGGGCAGCGTGGGGATCAGCACGTGCTCCCAGCGCATGGGGTACAGGAGTGCGCAGGACGCATGGACACACGAGGTCAGCTAGAGAGCGATGGCAGGGCGTGGAGTCAGGGCCTGGACCCTCTGGCACGCGGTCTCTCCAGGCATTTCCTACGTCCCGTCTCCTATTCCCCGTCCCCATCCACTGCTGGGTAATGAGTGACAACTCGAACCCCTTTAGAAATCATGTGGTTTAGCTGGGTGTGGTGGCGTGCATCTGTAGTCCCTCGGGAGGCTGAGGCAGGAGAATTGCTTTAAACCCAGGAGGCAGAGGTTGTAGTGAGACCAGATCGTGCCACTGCACTTCAGCAGGGTGACAGAATGAGACTCCATCCCCCCCACAAAAAAAAGAAAAAAAAGAAATCATGTGGAGACCAGGAATTTGACTACTTACAGTGCTTTAAGAAGGTGAGGCCAGGACTTATCCCATCCCGATCCCTTTCTCTAAGGGAGTGCAGTTAATAGGCAACTCCCCTGGGTCTTCCAGCATAGAGGTAGAGCTAGGACAGAGCGTCCACGAACTCTACCCCGAAAGAGGTGGAGCTATAATGTATCCCGCCCTTGTCCCACCCCTAGGGGTGGAGCCACGACCTAACCCCACCCCAAAGAGGTGGGGCCAGAATGCAACCATTTGGCTCCCACCCTAGGGGTGGAGTCAGGATGGAGCTTCACCCAAAGAGGTGGAGCCAAAATGCAATAATTTGACCCCATCTCTAGGGGTGGAGCCGCTCTCCACCTCCTGGGTCTTAGGGTCCCTGGGAGTATGCATTTCTAGTTTTTTAGGTCCCTTGTTATCTGAATCTCTATTCCTGGGGGTTCCCTGGGTCCCGGGATTTCTGAGTTCCTGAGTCCCTGGGTCCCTGGATCCCCATGTGTATAGGTCTCTAGTTCTCAGGGTCCCTGAGTATCCGGAGGGGTGGAGCCAGACCATAGTGGGTGGCCCATAGTGGGTGGAGCCTGTTTAGTACTTCCCAAAGAGGAGGAGCTGCAGCGCAGGCCCCTCCCACAGGGGCGGGGCTAGAATTTAACTCTCGGAGACCTTCGAGGTGGCGGAGCCAAGACTTTGCCTTCAGGTCCGGTGCAGTGGGGTTAGAGCGAGGAATCAGCTCCATTGTCCCTCCCCAAGGGGCGGAGCCAGGCCCTGCCCCGCCCCCATCCCGGCAGGCCCCGCCCCTGTCCCGGCAGGCCCCGCCTCACGGTGCTGAGTTTGCTGGCGGTGAGCAGGACTCTTCGCTCGGCCAGGAGCGCCGCGAACAGCCCCACAAGGTTCTCGTCGGTCACGGCCACCACCAGCTCGGTTAGATTCCTCTGAGGATCAGAGAGGCGCGCTGGGCGTGGACGGGTCCCTGGATCTCGCATCCCTCGTCCGGGTTTCGGGAACTGTTCACACCCCCAGAAACCCCTCCCGGGTCCCCACTCACGTTCTCAGGGATGGATGGTAGGCGGCCGGAGTCCGGGGCCACGAAGCAGGAAAGCTGGTGGGGGTATTGGCGTGGGGTCAATCAGTTAGGAGGCTGGCCTCACCTGGATCCCCGACCTTCCAGGGTCCCCCAGCCCCGCTCACCGGCTTGTTATTCCCCGGGGTAGGGGGCGGGATGCCCTGCCCGCTGCAGACGGTGACTCCACTGCCCTGGGGAAGAGGTACGGCTGTGGTCATCAGGTCTGGGACACAGCCTTCCCATCCACCTAAGGTCCAGCGCCCAGGGAGTGGGAGCTACTCACCAGCTCCAGCCCCACTGAGGCCTGGGGCTCTGGCAGGGACTGCTGCAACAGATTCTGAAGAAGTTCCATTGCCTCGGAGACCTGGGTGGGAGGTAGGGGAGAGGGGGTGGCTGAGCCAGAGGTGGATTGGGGTTTCCAAGGGCTATGACTAAGCTTGAGTGGTGTGGGAGGAGCTCAGGTCAGATAAGGCTCAGGCCTGGGAGTTTTTTTTTTTTTTTTTTCTTGAAAAGAAATTAAAAACCAGGGCTCCGTGGCGCGTGCCTGTAGTCCCAGCTACTTGGAGGCTGAGGCTGGAGGATTGCTTGAGTCCAAGAGTTCTGGGCTGTAGTGTGCTCTGCTGATGGGATGTCTGCACTAAGTTCAGCATCAATATGGTGACCTCCTGGAAGTGGGGGAACACCAGGTTGCCTAAGGGGGGTGAACCGGCCCAGGTCAGAAACGGAGCAGATCAAAACTCCCATGATGATCGGTAGTGGGATCGCTCCTGTGAATAGCCACTGCACTCCAGCCTGGGCAACATAGCGAGACCCCCATCTATTTTTTTAAAAAAGAAATAATAATAATAATAAAGAGACAAGATCTTCCTGGGTTGCCAAGGCTGGTTTTGAACTCCTGGACTCAAGGGATCCTCCTGCCTTGGCCTCCCAAAGTGCTGGGATTACAGGTGTGAGCCACCGCACTCGGCCAATTTACTTATTTTTTTTGTAGAGACGGGGGTCTCACTACGTTGCCCAGGCTGGTCTCAAACTCCTAGGTTCAAGTAGTCCTCCCATCTCAGCCTCCCAAAGTACTGAGACGACAGGTGTGGGAAATCTGAGAGGGGTTGGGAGCTTGGTGGGGTGGGGGCTGGGACTCCTACAGGAGTGAGAGAGGGGCTGGTCTCACTTGGTCCTGAGCTAGGAGTTCTCCCACTGTGTTCAGTAGCTTGTAAAACACCTCGAACCAAGGCAGGTGGCTGAGGAGAGAGGAGACATTCACAAAGTGTCACTAGGCCTCAGCCTTTCCCATCCCCCACCCCCAACCCCCATATCCCACACCTGAGAATGCAGAGACAGCTCTGGGTACCCGCCCGCAGGCGGCAGAAACCAAATCTGCGGTTGCCGGCAAGGTCTGTGAGGGCGAAGGTGAAGTGCTGCACGGCGGGGCTGGGGGGCTCCCTGGAGTGGGAAGGGCTGTTAGAGAGACCTGGGCATCCCCGCTGTCTGAGGATGTCCCCCACCCCAACAAAGCTCCTGGGACCCTGGGTATATAGGTCTCTAGTTGTCAGAATCCCTGCATGCCTGGCTCCCCCATCTCAGGATCCCTGAGTCTGTGGATCTCTGGGTCCCTGGATATCTGGTTCTCTGGATCTCTAGATCCTTGGGTTCCTGGATCTCTGGGTTCCAGAGTCCCTGGGTTGCTGAGTCCCTGGGTCCCTGTGTCCTTGAGTCCCTGGGTTCCTGGGTCCCTGTGTCTCTGAGCCCCTGGGTTCCTGAATTCCTGAATCCCTAAGTCCCTGTGTTCCTGTGTCCCTGTGTCCCTGAGTCACTGAGTCACTGAGTCTCTGTATCCCTGAATCCTCATAGTTCTGAGTCTCTGGGTTCCCAAGTCCCCAAATCCTTGAGTCTCTAAGTCCCTGAATGCCTGAGTTCCTGGGTCCCTGGGTTCCTGAGTTCCTGAGTCCTTAGATTCCTGAGTCCCTGAATCTCTGTGTCCTTAAGTCCCTGTGTCTCTGGGTCCCTGGGTCCCTGAATCCCTGGATCTCTGGGCTTCTGGACCTCTGGGTTACTGAGTCCCTGGATCCCTGGGTTGCTATGTCCCTTTGTCCCTGAGTCCCTGTGTCCCTGAGTCCCTGTGTCCCTGAGTCCCTGGATCTTTGGGTCCCCGAGTGTCTGAGTCCCTGGATGCTAATGCATATATGTCCTTAAGTTCTCAGGGCCTCCAAGTGTTTGAGTCTTTGAGTCTCAGGGTCCTTGAGTGTATGGGTTTCCAGATGCCTGGGTCCTTGGGGCCCCTGAGAGATCTGAGTCCCTAAGTCCTTGGATCTCCCTGCCCTTTCATACCTTTCCACATCAAAAGGGAAGCAGAATTTAGGCACCATCTGTATAGCTTCCTGAAGGTGAAGAAAAGCGCAGACTGCTTGGCCGCTCAGGTTGGGCCCAGGTCCAAGACACAGAGTCCCCTTCCCCTGGGGGACCAGCCCTGGCCCTGGGCGGCGGGGTTGGGGGGGCGGGGAGATGGGCCAACCTGAATACCTGGTCCCTGAAGTCTGGGGGGAACTGCCGCAGGATGGTGGGGTCTGTAGAAGACAGCAGGTCTCTAATTTCAGCGACCCTGGCCCACCCTCCCCTCCCAACTCCTTCACTCCCAAGCTCCCAACTCACCCTCCTGCAGGGAGGCAGGGTAGGCCGCTTCAAAGAACCAGTCAAACACGGCGGGGGAGCCCCCTCTGTGGGATGCAGAAGGGGTCCAGAGTCTTGCTTCTGTGCCTGTGTGGTTGTGTCTGCCACTTTGCACCCCAGTGTGGTTGTGTGGGAATGCAACAAGTGTCGGCATGTGTGAGGCTGTGTGGCAACAATGTTAATTGCGCACACAAGTACAGGATGGGGTGAGAAAATGTGACTGTGTGTGTGTGGCTGAGTGCAGGGCTTGTGTAAGCAAGCAGTGTGTATGTGACCCTGTCTGCTGTCTGCTTGAAAAGATGAGACTGGCCTCTCTGTCGGTGGGGTAGGACTGCCCAGATAGTGGACAGTCTGTGCAGTCCCAAGCTAAGTGAATAACATCTATATTTTCTTTTCTTTTCTTTTTTTCTTTTTTTTTGAGATGGAGTCACCCTGGGCACAGCGCCTCACCCCTGTATTCCCAGCACTTTGGAAGGCTGAGGTGCTCGGATCACCTGAGGTCAGGAGTTCGAGACTAGCCTGACCAACATGGAGAAACCCTGTCTCTACTAAAAAATACAAAAATTTGCCAGGTGTGGTGGCACATGCCTGTAATCCCAATTACTGGGGAGGCTGAGGCAGTAGAATCGCTTGAACCCAGGTGGCGGAGGTTGCGGTGAGCCGAGATCATGCCACTGCATTCCACAGGGTCACACACACACTGCTTGCTCACACAAGCCATGCACTCAGCCACACACAATCATAGACAGCCACACACAGTCACACCTTCTCACTCCATCCTGTACTCGTGTGCACAATTAACACTGCTGCACACACAGCCTCACATGACCACACACTCACAAGGGTGAAACTCCGTCTCAAAAAAAAGCCCAGGCACAGTGGCTCATGCCTGTAACCCCACCACTTTGGGAGGCCAAGGCGGGCAGATCACAAGGTAAGGAGTTCAAGACCAGCCTGGTCAACATGGTGAAACCCCATCTCTACTAAAAATACAAAAAGTAGCTGATCATGGTGGCTTGTGCCTATAATCCCGGCTACTCTGGAGGCTGAGGCAGGAGAATGGCTTGAACCAGGACCCGGGATGCAGGCCGAGATTTCCCCATTGCACCAGCCTGGGATACAGAGTGAGACTCTGTCTAAAAAAAAAAGAGACAGAATCTTGCTCTGTCACCCAAACTGGAGTGCAGTGGCACAATCTTACCTGCAACCTCCACCCCCGGAGTTCAAGCTATTCTCTTGCCTCAGCCTCCCTAGTAGCTGGGGTTACAGGTGCCCACCACCTTGCTCAGCTAATTTTTATATTTTTAGCAGAGATGGGGCTTCATATTGGCCAGGCTGGTCTTGAACTCCTGACCTCAGATGATCTGCCTGCCTTGGCCTCTCAAAGTGCTGGGATTACACGTGAGCCACCACGTCTGGCCACAATATCTATATTTTCTTATATATATTCGAGTGTGTGTGCCCGAGCAAGTGAATGACATCTACAGTTTCCTGTGCAGCTGTGAGTGTCGCTGGGTAACTGGCAGCCTTTCGGCCTGTCTGTGTGTCTCTATGTGCTAGACTCCATGGGACCCTGGTGGCTAATCCCATATGTCTCATCAGAGAAAGCAGGGCAGGATACTTGGGTCCTTACTGTAAGCCCTGAAATCTCTGCTTTCCTCCCCTGCCCCCATATCAAGCAGAAGATGCAAACTTGGGCTCAAGGAGAGAGATAGGGAGGCCTGGAGGGAGATCAGCGGCAGACATACCGTCCTTCCCGGTTGCAATCACAGTCCCCCACATGGGATACCCAGCACTTCACCCTCATGCTGACACAGTCACACACGATCACCCACTCATATGAACACCCAGCCTTCCCTCTGCCTTGATCACCCACCCCGTGGACCCCCTGAAGATGGTACATGCATCTACAGAGCTACAAACATAATCACAGGAGCAGGATAGAGAGAGAGAGAGAGAGAGAGAGAGAGAGAGAGAGAGAGAGAGAGAGAGGGGAGACTGAGAGTGGCCTGTCCCAGAGTGAAGGTCACAGTGGAGGCCAGCAGAGTGTCCGATTCCAGCCACCTGCCCCTGGGGGTCACGGCACCTCCTGGGCCTGCTCCAGCCCCAGCTCCCCTTTGCCCCTGCTCAGGCCCAGTCTGGGAATCTTGTACCAGAGAATGAGGGATAGGGCAGCTCTTACTCAGCTCTGGATCCCATGGTCCCTGCAGGGCCAGCCCAGCGGGGCCCTCTCCCCAGGGGTCCTAGGGGGCCTGTGTGTGCTGGGCCCCAAGCTGGCTCAGCTTCCTGTGTGGCTGAGAGAGGAAGTTTAACGGGTGACGTCCCCAGACAGAGGCCCTGCCCCCACCCCCTGTGAGAAACCCAGGCATCCTGCCTGCTAATTATGTTGGGGATGGGTGGGTAATAAGTGGTCAGCTTGGGAAGCCAGACCCCCGGCTTCATCCCGCCAGGCTGGATCATGTCTGGTCCCCCACATCAAGCCCGGGCCCTCGTATCTCCTTCCCTGCTCTGCAGCAGCCAAGATTCATGGTTTGTCTATTAATAAAACGCTTCCCCTTCTCTTAACTCTTCTTTCCCTTGGTCCATTTGCCCTGGATGGTCACTACAGGACCACCAGAGGGAGCCACCTTTAAAGTGGACAGTGGGAGTGCCAGGGACAGGGACAAAGAGCACAGAGTACAGGCGCAGGGACGGACAGACGGACACACACTCAGAAAGTCACCAGCACAGACAAACAGCCTAGAACAGCCAGGGATGACAGATAGACACAGAGAAATAGCGAGTCCTACAGCCAGAACACAGCCCCAGGCCAGGCGAGGTGGCTCATGCCTATAATCCCAGAGCTTTGAGAGGCTGAGGTGGGAGGATTCCTTGAGCCCAGGAGTTTGAGACCAGCCTGGGAAACATGGAGAAACCCTGTGTCTACAAAAAGTTACAAAAATTATATCGGGCGCTGGGCACGTTGGCCTATGCCTGTAATCCCAGCCCTTTGGGAGGCCAAGGTGGGTGGATCACCTGGGGTTGGGAGTTCAAGACCAGCCTGACCAACATGGAGAAACCCCATTTCTAAAAAAAAAAAAAGAAAAAGAGAGAGGAAAGAAAAATTATAGCTGGATGTGGTGGCACTCACTTGTAGTCCCAGCTTACTAAGGAGGCTGAGCCAGGAGGATTGCCTGAGTCTGGGGAGTTCGAGGCTGTAGTGAACCACGATTGCACTACTGTACTCCCGCCTGGGCAACAAAGTAAGATCCTGTCTCAAAAAAAAAGAAAAAACTTAGTCACAGATACACACCCATTGTGCACAGAAAGACAAGACAGGTCTTTCCCTTGAGGTCAGGAGTTTTCGACCGGCCTGGTCAAAATGATGAAATCGCATTATGTATGTATGTATTTATTTATTGAGACAGAGTCTCATATCTCGGCTTACTGAAACCTCTACCTCCTGGGTTCAAGCAATTTTCCTGCCTCAGCCTCCCAAGTAGCAAGGACTACAGGCGGCGAACACTACATCTGGCTAATTTTTTTGTATTTTTAGTGGAGATGGTGTTTCACTGTGTTAGCCAGGCTGGTCATGGTTTCCTGACCTGGTGATCCACCTGCCTCAGTCTTCCAAAGTGAGCTACCACGCCCAGCCTCTAACTTAAAAAATACAAAAATTAGCTGGGCATTGTGGCATGTGCCCGTATTCCCAGCTGCTTCAGAGGCTGAAGCAGGAGAATCACTTGAACCCAGAAGGCAGAGGGTGCAGTGAGCTGAGATCACGCCACTGTACTCCAGCCTGGGCGACAGAGTGAGACTTACTCTCCAAAAAAAAAAAAAAAAAAGAAGACACACAGAGAGACAGAGATATGATAAACAGATACACAGAGACGACAGCCATTGATACAAACAGAATAACAGAGAAATAGACTCAGATTGATCGAGACACACAGCACAGACATAGATCAAGTAATGACCAGATATGGACACAGCCTGGACTCAGCCACATGCAGAGAGAGATGCAGCTGGACTTACATGACAGCCAGATACTCAAGGCAGCCCGACACGTCCAGGCCACATTGCAGACTGTGAAAGGCACAGGGGTTGGGTGCAGTGGCTCATGCCTGTAATCCCAGTACTTTGGGAAGCCAAGGTAGGACTGTTTGAGGCCAGGACTTCAAGACCAGCGTGAGCAATATAAGAATACCCCATCTCAGCTGGGCGCGGTGGCTCACGACCATAATCCCCTCACTTTGGGAGGCCGAGGAGGGTGGACGACGAGGTCAGGAGTTTGAGACCAGCCTGGCCAACATGGTGAAACCCTGTCTCTACTAAAAATATAAAAATTCAACAAGTGCAGTGGCGGGCGCCTATAATTCCAGCTACTCAGGAGGCTAAGGCAGGAGAATTGCTTGAACCCGGAAGGCAGAGGTTGCAGTGAGCCAAGATCATGCCACTGCACTCAAGTCTGGGTGACAGAGCAAGACTCCATCTCAAAAATAAATAAATAAATAAAAACAACAAGACCCCATCTCTACAAAAACGAAAATTTAGCTAGGTGCAGTGGTCCCAGCTACTCCACAGGCTGAGGTGGGAAGGTGCCTTGAGCACAGGTGGTGGAGGCTGCAGTGAGCTGGGATCCTGCCATGGCACTCCAGCCTGGGCAACAGCGCGAGACCCTGTCTGCAAACAAACAAAAGAACAAATGAAGGAAAACAACGAAAAAGACACGGGCACATGGGTGGACAGATGCAGTCGTGGCGAGACAGGATATATGAACACATTTGCAGGCACAAAAACAGAACGTGATACAGTCATTCATGGTTACACCTACACACAAAATCCTGCAGGCAGACTCAGACCACTGTGTGTCGGGAAAAGCCTGGTACCCACAGTCACTGGACACACAGAGAGAATCCTACCAACCACATCCTCACGGAGTCTGATGGACTCGTGCTGTCGTCCGAATGTGTGTCCCTCCAAAATTTATATGTTGAAACCTAAATCCTCAAGGCAGTAAGTGGTAAGAGGCGGGGCCTTTGGGAGGTGATGAGGTCATGAGGTATCCACCCTCAACAATGGGATTAATGCCTTCATAAAAGAGGCTTGAGACTGGGCGCAGTGACTCACACCTGTAATCCCAGCACTTTGGGAGGCTGAGGCCGGCGGATCACCTGAGGTTGGGGGTTTGAGACAAGCCTGACCAACATGGAGAAACCTTGTCTCTACTAAAAATACAAAATTAGGCTGAGGCGAAGTGGCTCACACCTCCTGTAATCCCAGCACTTTGGGAGGCCAAGGTGGGGCGGAGTGGAGGGGGGGGGCGCATGTTCATCTGAAGTTAGGTGTTCAAGACCAGCCTGGGCAACATGGCAAAACTCTGTCTCTACTAAAAGTACAAAATTAGCTGGGGGTGGTGGCGAATGCCTGTAATCCCAGCTACTTAGGAGGCTGAGGCAGGAGAATCCTTTGAACCCAGGAGGCAGAGATTGCATTGAGTTGAGATCGCACCATTGCACTCCAGCTTGGGCAACAAGAGCGAAACTCCATCTCAGAAAAACAAAAACAAAAACTACCACCGCTACTACTGTACACACAACTGTTTTGTTTTGTTTTTTCGAGACGGAGGCTTGCTCTGTCGCCCAGGCTGGAGTTCACTGGGCTGATCTCGGCTCATCGCAACCTCCACCTCCCGGATGATTCAAGCGATTCTCCTGCCTCAGCCTCCTGAGTAGCTAAGATTACAGGTGCACACCACCACACCCGGCTAATGTTTTATATTTTTAGTAGAGATGGGGTTTCACCATGTTGGCCAGGCTGGTCTCAAACTCCTGACCTGAAGTAATCCACCTGCCTTGGCCTCTCAACGTGCTGGGATTATAGGCGTGAGCCACTGCGCCTGGCAGTGATAGGCTCTATCAGTAGAATAAAATAACTGATGGAGAGTAGCAGTGTACTAATTTACAGTAACCAGGGAAGGCTGCTCGGAGGAGGAGGTGGCGTCATGTGAAGTGAAACCTGCAAGATGAGAAGTGGGTCAGTCGTACACTTATCTGGGGAAAGAACATTCAGGAACAGCAAGTGCTAAGTCTGTGAGGTTGAATTGAGCTTGATACGATTGAGTCCAAAGAGAAGGTCATTGTAGTTTTGGCTTAATGCGTGAAGAGGAGAGGGGTTGAGAGGTTTGGGGTTGAGGTCAGAATAGTCAACAAGGGGTGGATGACATGGAACCTTGGACACCAAGGTGAGCGTTTGGGGATCGATCTGCATGAGACAGGAGTTGGGGGGGGTTCTGAGCATGGGAGTGACAAGCTGTGATTTGCATATGAGGACACTTCTCTGGCTTCTGTTGATGGACGATATGCTGACAGGAGGGAACCCCAGAGAAGCACCTGGAGTCGTTGTCTGGAGGAGCAGTCATGATAACTTAGACCAGGTGGAGACAGGCGGAGGGAAGGGGCTGGATTCAGGATGCATTTTGGAGGCAGAGACAACTGACTCAGCGAGACGGGACGAACACACTTCTGGCTGCAGGAAGCAGCGGATCAAGGCTGACTCCTAGATTTGGGGTTTCAGCAACTGGGCGGATGGTGGTGCCACTTACGGGGGGAGACGATGTTTTTGGGAGTGGAATCAGGAGTTCTTTGGTGGCCACTTTGGGTTTAAGATGATGATGAGAGTCAAGTCGTCTGGCTGGCACACAGTTCCTTTTTTTTTTTTTTTTTGAGATGGGGTCTCACTTTGTTGCCCAGGCTGGAGTGTGGTGGCACAATCATAAGTCACTGCAGCCTCAACTTCCTGGGCTCAAGGGATCCTCCCACCGCAGCTTCCCTAGTGGCTGAAACTACAGGTACATGCCACCATGCCTGGTTAATTTTTGTATTTTTTGAAGATATGGGGCTTCGCCATATTTACCAGACTGGTCTCAAACTCCTGAGCTCATGGGATCCTCCCACCTCAGCCTCCCAAAGTGCTGGGATTACAGGCCTATTTACTATCCTATTTACTATCCTTTAAAAGAGGATGCTATACAAAAAAAATTTAGCCAGGCGTGGTGGGATGCGCCTGTAGTCCCAGCCACTCAGGAAGCTGAGGCAGGAGAATCACTTGAACCCGGGGCAGAGGTTGCAGTGAGCCAAGATCACGCCACTGCACTCCAGACAGGGCGACAGAGTGAGACTCCATCTCAAAAAAAAAAACCACTAAGATGCTAAAGTCTGCATTGATGAGAGACAGGGTATTGTTCTCACTGGAATAAAGTCAAGGTGTCAACCAGATTGTGCCTTGGGGATGCTCTGGGGAAGAATATGATTCATTTTTTCTTCTAACTTCTAGAGGCCACCTACATTCTGTGTCTCGTGACCTTCCTCCACCTTCAAAGTCTGTAGCTCTTTTTTATTTTTAAATTTAATTTAATTTTTTTTTTGAAATGGAGTTTCACTCTTGTCGCCCATGCCGGAGTGCAATGGCGAGATCTCAGCTCACTGCAACCTCCACCTCTCAGGTTCAAGTGATTATCCTGCCTCAGCCTCCTGAGTAGTTGGGATTACAGGCATCTGTCAGCAGGTCTAGCTAATTTTTGTATTTTTAGTAAAGACAGAGTTTCTGGGCTCAATGGCTCACACCTGTACTTTGGGAGGCCGAGGTGGGTGGATCAACTGAGGTCAGGAGTTCAAGACCAGCCTGGCCAACATGGTGAAACCCCCGTCTCTACTAAAAATACAAAAATTAGTGGGGCGTGGTGGTGGGCGCCTGTAATCCTAGCTATTCTGGAGGTTGAGGCAGGAGAATCCCTTGAACCCTAGAGGGCAGAGGTTGCAGTGGGCCAAGATCACACCACTTCACTCCAGCCTGAGCATAAGAGCAAAACTCCGTCTTGGGGGTGGGGGAGGTGGTGGTGGGTGGGGAAGACAAGGTTTCACCATGTTGGCCAGGCTGGTCTGGAAATCCTGACTTGAAGGACCTTTTTTTTTGAGACAGGGTGTCCATCTGTTGCCCTGGTTAAAGTGCAGTGGTGCGATCATAGCTCACTCCAGTCTCCTCGGCTCACGTGATCCTCCCACCTCAGCCTCCCAAGTAGCTACCAC